GCTTCTGTTGAAGATAGCGCGACCGTCCGTTGTTTCTGGCTTTTCCAGCTGATGCATCCTCCGCTCATCATGAACACATAGCCGCTTGTACTTCGTCTTGACTCAATGTCGCCGGCCCAGTCTGCGTCGGTGTACCCGCAGATACGGCTTCCTTCTTCACGTGTAAACTCAAGACCATGATTGGGCGTTGCTTGCAGGTATCTCAGCACACGCTTCAAAGCTTGCCAGTGAGTCGGGCATGGGTCGGACGAGAACTGGGATAATGATCCCACTGCAGCAGCTAGATCCGGACGTGTGGCGACCATGAGATACATGATGCCTCCGACAGCACTTCGATATGGCACGTTGCACATGGTGTCTTCGTGCTTGCATTCTTGTTCACACATGTTCTTGGTTAGCTTCAGGCCGGGATCTTGAGGCGTCTTCACTGGCTTGCTGTTATCCATTCCGAACTTGGTTAACACGGACTTGAGGAACTTGGTTTGTTGTACAGTCACCATTCCCGTCTTACGGTCGTTCTTGATCTCCATGCCGAGAAAGTAATCGAGCTCACCGAGATCCGTCATTTCGAAGCGTTTGCTCAGCGCCATCTTGGTTGACTTGAGGAGTTCGTTGTTGCTGCTGGCCAGGATGAGATCATCGACGTAGAGCACCACGAGAATCATGTCTTGGTCGTCTCGCTTGATGTAGATGCAGTGGTCCGATTCGCACTTCTTGAATCCCATCTTGATCATGAACCCATCGATTGTTTGGTTCCACATGCGAGGCGATTGCTTCAAGCCGTAGAGTGATCTCTTTAGCTTGCACACATAGTCCGGCTGTTTTGCATCCAGGTATCCGTCCGGCTGGTCCATGTAGATGTCTTCGTTGAGGGAGCCGTTAAGAAACGCTGTCTTGACGTCCATCTGATGTAGCATTAGGCCGTACTTAGCCGCCATACTGAGCACCACACGAATCGATGTGAACTTGGCCACCGGTGCGAAAGTTTCTTCATAGTCAACTCCGAATTTCTGTGAGAATCCTTTGGCCACAAGTCTTGCCTTGAAACGTTCAACTTCGCCATCTTGATTCTCCTTTACACGAAAAACCCATCGGCACCCGATGGCCTTGCGACCTTTCGGAAGAGGCACGATTTCCCACGTGTCGTTTCTCTGAAGCGAATCGAACTCCGAGTCACACGCTTCTTTCCACTTGCCGGAGTCGCTTGATTCCATCGCCGACTTGAATGTAGTCGGCGTTTCCCCCACTGAATCAACGATGTAGGCTGCTTCAAAATCCATTGCAGCCGCTGACACATGCTCAAGCGACGGACCTCTGTATGTTCTTCGCTTGGGACTTGGAATGACGGTAGCTTTCTCAAGTGATTGAGTGCGCGTGTGTCTCTTGATGTTGCTCTTCGAAGACCTGGTGTCTTCGTTGTCATCGTCGCTCGAGTCCATGTCGTCGTCAGTTTTACCTTCTTCTTTTTCTTCGTCCTCATCATGATCATCAAACTCAACGACACTTGACTCATCGTTGTAGTTGCGCGGACCTTCATCAAACTTGTCTTCCATGAATGTGGCATCGCGACTGATCTTGATCGCTCCTGTTGACACTTCCTCAAATCGATATGACTTCTGGTGTTCGGCGTATCCCAGGAAACGACAGAGTGATGACTTGGAGTCGAACTTCGCGCGTTTGTCTTGAGGCACTTGAACATACGCGTGGCATCCAAACACTTTAAGGTTGGCCAGAATCGGTTTCTTCATCGTCCACACTTGATATGGAGACTTGTCTTGGTGAATGGCACGTGTTGGACAGCGGTTTCGAAGAAACATCGCCGTCATCACTGCTTCACCCCAGTAGCTCTTTCCCAGTCCAGCGTGTTCCATCATGCAACGCGCACACTCGACCAGCGTGCGATTCATTCTCTCAGCTACTCCGTTTAGCTGAGGAGTATATGGGGGGTGTGAACCTTTGTTGTATTCCCCGTTCCGCGCAGAATCGTGCCAGCTTGTCGGACTTGTATTCACCCCATTGTCGCTTTGAAGGTACTTCACGCGCTTTCCGGTTTGCGTTTCGGCCATCGCAGCGTATTCCATGAACTTCGCCGCAACTTCAGATTTGCTCTTGAGCAGATAGACGACACAGTATCTTGACTTGTCATCAATGAATGTCACGAAGTACCGTTTTCCACTGAAAGTTGCCATCGACATCGGTCCGCATACGTCGCTGTGAATCACTTCGAGGAGTTTGGAGGTGCGAGCTGTAGTGTTTGATTGGAAGCGCACTCGAGTCTGTTTTCCCAGAGCACAACCTTCACACACGTCCCACTTCTTCACCGAAGATATGTCGATGCCAATTCCAATGTTCTTCGTCACGATGCAATTGAGTCCATCGTGACCTATGTGGCCAAGCCGAAGGTGCCAGAGGTACGACTTGGTGCCCCCTTGACATCCCGACGACTTGGCTGCATTTGCTTGTTCCGGCGCCACTGGAGTCATTTGCAGCTTGAACAGTCCTTTACCTTCACGGGCACCAATTTTCCACTTGGTCCCTTTCGCTTCTCCATAGCACCCATCCTTCGTGAACGTCACTGGGCCGACATCCTTGGTGAAGCGGCCGACCGAGAACAGGTTTCTGGATAACTTTGGGATGTGCCACACGTTTGTGAGCACACCTTTCTTCATCCCTTGGGGTGTCTTCATCGACATGACAATGTCCCCACTGCCGATTGCTTGGACGATTCCGTCATCCGCGAGATGGACATCCACAGCGTCAAACCCCTTGTAGTTCCGCATGAACTTCTTGGAGCACGTCATGTGCTGCGTCGCCCCGGAGTCGACCAGCCAGATGTCGCTCGATTTCGCAGATGTCGTTTCACCGATCGAAAAGAGGTAGTCGCCCGAGTCTTCTTCTTGAGCGACGTTTGCACGTTGTGATCGATAGCGGTCGCCGCTGTCTTGAGCACGCTGTGGCCGGTGTCTCTCCGTGTTTTCTTGGATGCGCGAGGGGCACTCCGCCATCCAGTGACCAATCTTTCCGCAATTGTGGCACGGCCAGGACTTCTTCACTGGTCGCCCTTTGCGCTGATTGTCCCTTGTGATGAACGCTTGACCTTGCGAAGCTTCATCACCTTTACTTCCTTGCTCCTTCCGCTTCATTTCTTCATGAAGCAGTCGAGACGTCACGAGCTCCCAGCTAAGAGTGTCTGAGGCGCGACTCCAAAGCTGTGATCAAGAATTGATACGAGTCACTCAGGCTGCCGAGGAGTGTGATCACCAGATCGTCCTCGCAGACTGGAGCCCCCACCGCTTCTAGCTGTTCCGCCAGCGTCTTGAGCTTGTTGATGTGTTCGAGCACATCGTCGCCTTCTTCCATCATTGTCGTGAAGAAGCGACGGCGCAAGAACATCTTGTTGGCAAGACTCTTCTTCTCGAAGTGGTCTTCCAACCTTGACCATGCGTCGCATGCACCACTTGCCGACCGGACCAACGGTAGCTGGGAATCTTCCATGGCTAGACAGATCACTGCCATCGCCTTTCTTGACTTCCTCTTGTACGTCGCTTGGTCCAACTGAGTCTCGCACTGTTCCGCCTTGATCTCACCGCTGACGACCTCCCATAGGTCCCGTTCCTCCAGCACCATCTGCATCTTGAACTTCCAGGCGTGGAAGTTAGTTCCATCGAACTTGGAGATGCGGAGGGAGGAGGCGTCCATGGCAGCTAAGCTTGAATTGTTGGCGGTTTCAGAGTCTGACGAACTTGGGCTCATAACCTGATGAACTTTAGACTTCTTGGTCCGAGTGCAAAACGCAAAGTGAATATATATTTATAATAGGTACTTAGTTCGCAACTTTGAATACTACCTCTAAGCCTATTATTCGCAGTGACGTCATCCAGTGACGTCACCCACTGACGTCACCCACTGACGTCATGCAATGACGTCATCCAGTGACGTCATTTCCTGACTTCGCCCTTACTGGTACATACCGGTACCCACCGGTATAGCGAAGCTTGGTCTTCCACTTGCTTCAACACTTGACGCAGCTTGACGAGGTGTCTTCTTCACAGCCGCTGTCTTTTCAACACATCTGATGTAGCATTAGGCCGTACTTAGCCGCCATACTGAGCACCACACGAATCGATGTGAACTTGGCCACCGGTGCGAAAGTTTCTTCATAGTCAACTCCGAATTTCTGTGAGAATCCTTTGGCCACAAGTCTTGCCTTGAAACGTTCAACTTCGCCATCTTGATTCTCCTTTACACGAAAAACCCATCGGCACCCGATGGCCTTGCGACCTTTCGGAAGAGGCACGATTTCCCACGTGTCGTTTCTCTGAAGCGAATCGAACTCCGAGTCACACGCTTCTTTCCACTTGCCGGAGTCGCTTGATTCCATCGCCGACTTGAATGTAGTCGGCGTTTCCCCCACTGAATCAACGATGTAGGCTGCTTCAAAATCCATTGCAGCCGCTGACACATGCTCAAGCGACGGACCTCTGTACGTTCTTCGCTTGGGACTTGGAATGACGGTAGCTTTCTCAAGTGATTGAGTGCGCGTGTGTCTCTTGATGTTGCTCTTCGAAGACCTGGTGTCTTCGTTGTCATCGTCGCTCGAGTCCATGTCGTCGTCAGTTTTACCTTCTTCTTTTTCTTCGTCCTCATCATGATCATCAAACTCAACGACACTTGACTCATCGTTGTAGTTGCGCGGACCTTCATCAAACTTGTCTTCCATGAATGTGGCATCGCGACTGATCTTGATCGCTCCTGTTGACACTTCCTCAAATCGATATGAATTCTGGTGTTCGGCGTATCCCAGGAAACGACAGAGTGATGACTTGGAGTCGAACTTCGCGCGTTTGTCTTGAGGCACTTGAACATACGCGTGGCATCCAAACACTTTAAGGTTGGCCAGAATCGGTTTCTTCATCGTCCACACTTGATATGGAGACTTGTCTTGGTGAATGGCACGTGTTGGACAGCGGTTTCGAAGAAACATCGCCGTCATCACTGCTTCACCCCAGTAGCTCTTTCCCAGTCCAGCGTGTTCCATCATGCAACGCGCACACTCGACCAGCGTGCGATTCATTCTCTCAGCTACTCCGTTTAGCTGAGGAGTATATGGGGGTGTGAACCTTTGTTGTATTCCCCGTTCCGCGCAGAATCGTGCCAGCTTGTCGGACTTGTATTCACCCCCATTGTCGCTTTGAAGGTACTTCACGCGCTTTCCGGTTTGCGTTTCGGCCATCGCAGCGTATTCCATGAACTTCGCCGCAACTTCAGATTTGCTCTTGAGCAGATAGACGACACAGTATCTTGACTTGTCATCAATGAATGTCACGAAGTACCGTTTTCCACTGAAAGTTGCCATCGACATCGGTCCGCATACGTCGCTGTGAATCACTTCGAGGAGTTTGGAGGTGCGAGCTGTAGTGTTTGATTGGAAGCGCACTCGAGTCTGTTTTCCCCAGAGCACAACCTTCACACACGTCCCACTTCTTCACCGAAGATATGTCGATGCCAATTCCAATGTTCTTCGTCACGATGCAATTGAGTCCATCGTGACCTATGTGGCCAAGCCGAAGGTGCCAGAGGTACGACTTGGTGCCCCCTTGACATCCCGACGACTTGGCTGCATTTGCTTGTTCCGGCGCCACTGGAGTCATTTGCAGCTTGAACAGTCCTTTACCTTCACGGGCACCAATTTTCCACTTGGTCCCTTTCGCTTCTCCATAGCACCCATCCTTCGTGAACGTCACTGGGCCGACATCCTTGGTGAAGCGGCCGACCGAGAACAGGTTTCTGGATAACTTTGGGATGTGCCACACGTTTGTGAGCACACCTTTCTTCATCCCTTGGGGTGTCTTCATCGACATGACAATGTCCCCACTGCCGATTGCTTGGACGATTCCATCATCCGCGAGATGGACATCCACAGCGTCAAACCCCTTGTAGTTCCGCATGAACTTCTTGGAGCACGTCATGTGCTGCGTCGCCCCGGAGTCGACCAGCCAGATGTCGCTCGATTTCGCAGATGTCGTTTCACCGATCGAAAAGAGGTAGTCGCCCGAGTCTTCTTCTTGAGCGACGTTTGCACGTTGTGATCGATAGCGGTCGCCGCTGTCTTGAGCACGCTGTGGCCGGTGTCTCTCCGTGTTTTCTTGGATGCGCGAGGGGCACTCCGCCATCCAGTGACCAATCTTTCCGCAATTGTGGCACGGCCAGGACTTCTTCACTGGTCGCCCTTTGCGCTGATTGTCCCTTGTGATGAACGCTTGACCTTGCGAAGCTTCATCACCTTTACTTCCTTGCTCCTTCCGCTTCATTTCTTCATGAAGCAGTCGAGACGTCACGAGCTCCCAGCTAAGAGTGTCTGAGCGCGACTCCAAAGCTGTGATCAAGAATTGATACGAGTCACTCAGGCTGCCGAGGAGTGTGATCACCAGATCGTCCTCGCAGACTGGAGCCCCCACCGCTTCTAGCTGTTCCGCCAGCGTCTTGAGCTTGTTGATGTGTTCGAGCACATCGTCGCCTTCTTCCATCATTGTCGTGAAGAAGCGACGGCGCAAGAACAGCTTGTTGGCAAGACTCTTCTTCTCGAAGTGGTCTTCCAACCTTGACCATGCGTCGCATGCACCACTTGCCGACCGGACCAACGGTAGCTGGGAATCTTCCATGGCTAGACAGATCACTGCCATCGCCTTTCTTGACTTCCTCTTGTACGTCGCTTGGTCCAACTGAGTCTCGCACTGTTCCGCCTTGATCTCACCGCTGACGACCTCCCATAGGTCCCGTTCCTCCAGCACCATCTGCATCTTGAACTTCCAGGCGTGGAAGTTAGTTCCATCGAACTTGGAGATGCGGAGGGAGGAGGCGTCCATGGCAGCTAAGCTTGAATTGTTGGCGGTTTCAGAGTCTGACGAACTTGGGCTCATAACCTGATGAACTTTAGACTTCTTGGTCCGAGTGCAAAACGCAAAGTGAATATATATTTATAATAGGTACTTAGTTCGCAACTTTGAATACTACCTCTAAGCCTATTATTCGCAGTGACGTCATCCAGTGACGTCACCCACTGACGTCACCCACTGACGTCATCCAATGACGTCATCCAGTGACGTCATTTCCTGACTTCGCCCTTACTGGTACATACCGGTACCCACCGGTATAGCGAGGCTTGGTCTTCCACTTGCTTCAACACTTGACGCAGCTTGACGAGGTGTCTTCTTCACAGCCGCTGTCTTTTCAACAGAGCGGAGGATGCATCAGCTGGAAAAGACAGAAACAACGGACGGTCGCGCTATCTTCAACAAAAGCAGAATACATGGCGCTTTCCGAAGCAACCAAAGAAGCAGTATGGCTCAAAGTGCTTTTGGGGGAACTTGGTGAGATGACAAGCGACGAAGCGATCAAGATGTATGAAGACAACCAAGGATCAATCGCTCTCGCCAAGAACCCGGAGTTCCATAAGAGAACAAAACACATCGACATACGCTACCATTTTGTGCGTGAGAAGGTGGAATCAGGTGAAGTCGTTTTGGAGTATTGCCCGACTCAAGATATGCTGGCAGACATGATGACCAAGCCGATCGCCGCTGTACAATTTGAAAACATTCGCGATCGACTTGGGATCCAAGGTGCCGCAGCTAACGAGTCGAGAGGGAGTGTTGAAAAGACAGCGGCTGTGAAGAAGACACCTCGTCAAGCTGCGTCAAGTGTTGAAGCAAGTGGAAGACCAAGCTTCGCTATACCGGTGGGTACCGGTATGTACCAGTAAGGGCGAAGTCAGGAAATGACGTCACTGGATGACGTCATTGCATGACGTCAGTGGGTGACGTCAGTGGGTGACGTCACTGGATGACGTCACTGCGAATAATAGGCTTAGAGGTAGTATTCAAAGTTGCGAACTAAGTACCTATTATAAATATATATTCACTTTGCGTTTTGCACTCGGACCAAGAAGTCTAAAGTTCATCAGCGGCACCTTGGATCCCAAGTCGATCGCGAATGTTTTCAAATTGTACAGCGGCGATCGGCTTGGTCATCATGTCTGCCAGCATATCTTGAGTCGGGCAATACTCCAAAACGACTTCACCTGATTCCACCTTCTCACGCACAAAATGGTAGCGTATGTCGATGTGTTTTGTTCTCTTATGGAACTCCGGGTTCTTGGCGAGAGCGATTGATCCTTGGTTGTCTTCATACATCTTGATCGCTTCGTCGCTTGTCATCTCACCAAGTTCCCCCAAAAGCACCTTGAGCCATACTGCTTCTTTGGTTGCTTCGGAAAGCGCCATGTATTCTGCTTCTGTTGAAGATAGCGCGACCGTCCGTTGTTTCTGGCTTTTCCAGCTGATGCATCCTCCGTTCATCATGAACACATAGCCGCTTGTACTTCGGCTTGACTCAATGTCGCCGGCCCAGTCTGCGTCGGTGTACCCGCAGATACGGCTTCCTTCTTCACGTGTAAACTCAAGACCATGATTGGGCGTTGCTTGCAGGTATCTCAGCACACGCTTCAAAGCTTGCCAGTGAGTCGGGCATGGGTCGGACGAGAACTGGGATAATGATCCCACTGCAGCAGCTAGATCCGGACGTGTGGCGACCATGAGATACATGATGCCTCCGACAGCACTTCGATATGGCACGTTGCACATGGTGTCTTCGTGCTTGCATTCTTGTTCACACATGTTCTTGGTTAGCTTCAGGCCGGGATCTTGAGGCGTCTTCACTGGCTTGCTGTTATCCATTCCGAACTTGGTCAACACGGACTTGAGAAACTTGGTTTGTTGCACAGTCACCATTCCCGTCTTACGGTCGTTCTTGATCTCCATGCCGAGAAAGTAATCGAGCTCACCGAGATCCGTCATTTCGAAGCGTTTGCTCAGCGCCATCTTGGTCGACTTGAGGAGTTCGTTGTTGCTGCTGGCCAGGATGAGATCATCGACGTAGAGCACCACGAGAATCATGTCTTGGTCGTCTCGCTTGATGTAGATGCAGTGGTCCGATTCGCACTTCTTGAATCCCATCTTGATCATGAACCCATCGATTGTTTGGTTCCACATGCGAGGCGATTGCTTCAAGCCGTAGAGTGATCTCTTTAGCTTGCACACATAGTCCGGCTGTGTTGCATCCAGGTATCCGTCCGGCTGTGTTTCATCCAGGTATCCGTCCGGCTGGTCCATGTAGATGTCCTCGTTGAGGGAGCCGTTAAGAAACGCTGTTTTGACGTCCATCTGATGTAGCATTAGGCCGTACTTGGCCGCCATACTGAGCACCACACGAATCGATGTGAACTTGGCCACCGGTGCGAAAGTTTCTTCATAGTCAACTCCGAATTTCTGTGAGAATCCTTTGGCCACAAGTCTTGCCTTGAAACGTTCAACTTCGCCATCTTGATTCTCCTTTACACGAAAAACCCATCGGCACCCGATGGCCTTGCGACCTTTCGGAAGAGGCACGATTTCCCACGTGTCGTTTCTCTGAAGCGAGTCGAACTCCGAGTCACACGCTTCTTTCCACTTGCCGGAGTCGCTTGATTCCATCGCCGACTTGAATGTAGTCGGCGTTTCCCCACTGAATCAACGATGTAGGCTGCTTCAAAATCCATTGCAGCCGCTGACACATGCTCAAGCGACGGACCTCTGTACGTTCTTCGCTTGGGACTTGGAATGACGGTAGCTTTCTCAAGTGATTGAGTGCGCGTGTGTCTCTTGATGTTGCTCTTTGAAGACCTGGTGTCTTCGTTGTCATCGTCGCTCGAGTCCATGTCGTCGTCAGTTTTACCTTCTTCTTTTTCTTCGTCCTCGTCTTGATCATCAAACTCAACGGCACTTGACTCATCGTTGTAGTTGCGCGGACCTTCATCAAACTTGTCTTCCATGAATGTGGCATCGCGACTGATCTTGATCGCTCCTGTTGACACTTCCTCAAATCGATATGACTTCTGGTGTTCGGCGTATCCCAGGAAACGACAGAGTGATGACTTGGAGTCGAACTTCGCGCGTTTGTCTTGAGGCACTTGAAAATACGCGTGGCATCCAAACACTTTAAGGTTGGCCAGAATCGGTTTCTTCATCGTCCACACTTGATATGGAGACTTGTCTTGGTGAATGGCACGTGTTGGACAGCGGTTTCGAAGAAACATCGCCGTCATCACTGCTTCACCCCAGTAGCTCTTTCCCAGTCCAGCGTGTTCCATCATGCAACGCGCACACTCGACCAGCGTGCGATTCATTCTCTCAGCTACTCCGTTTAGCTGAGGAGTATATGGGTGTGTGAACCTTTGTTGTATTCCCCGTTCCGCGCAGAATCGTGCCAGCTTGTCGGACTTGTATTCACCCCCATTGTCGCTTTGAAGGTACTTCACGCGCTTTCCGGTTTGCGTTTCGGCCATCGCAGCGTATTCCATGAACTTCGCCGCAACTTCAGATTTGCTCTTGAGCAGATAGACGACACAGTATCTTGACTTGTCATCGATGAATGTCACGAAGTACCGTTTTCCACTGAAAGTTGCCATCGACATCGGTCCGCATACGTCGCTGTGAATCACTTCGAGGAGTTTGGAGGTGCGAGCTGTAGTGTTTGATTGGAAGCGCACTCGAGTCTGTTTTCCCAGAGCACAACCTTCACACACGTCCCACTTCTTCACCGAAGATATGTCGATGCCAATTCCATGTTCTTCGTCACGATGCAATTGAGTCCATCGTGACCTATGTGGCCAAGCCGAAGGTGCCAGAGGTACGACTTGGTGCCCCCTTGACATCCCGACGACTTGGCTGCATTTGCTTGTTCCGGCGCCACTGGAGTCATTTGCAGCTTGAACAGTCCTTTACCTTCACGGGCACCAATTTTCCACTTGGTCCCTTTCGCTTCTCCATAGCACCCATCCTTCGTGAACGTCACTGGGCCGACATCCTTGATGAAGCGGCCGACCGAGAACAGGTTTCTGGATAACTTTGGGATGTGCCACACGTTTGTGAGCACACCTTTCTTCATCCCTTGGGGTGTCTTCATCGACATGACAATGTCCCCACTGCCGATTGCTTGGACGATTCCATCATCCGCGAGATGGACATCCACAGCGTCAAACCCCTTGTAGTTCCGCATGAACTTCTTGGAGCACGTCATGTGCTGCGTCGCCCCGGAGTCGACCAGCCAGATGTCGCTCGATTTCGCAGATGTCGTTTCACCGATCGAAAAGAGGTAGTCGCCCGAGTCTTCTTCTTGAGCGACGTTTGCACGTTGTGATCGATAGCGGTCGCCGCTGTCTTGAGCACGCTGTGGCCGGTGTCTCTCCGTGTTTTCTTGGATGCGCGAGGGGCACTCCGCCATCCAATGACCAATCTTTCCGCAATTGTGGCACGGCCAGGACTTCTTCACTGGTCGCCCTTTGCGCTGATTGTCCCTTGTGATGAACGCTTGACCTTGCGAAGCTTCATCACCTTTACTTCCTTGCTCCTTCCGCTTCATTTCTTCATGAAGCAGTCGAGACGTCACGAGCTCCCAGCTAAGAGTGTCTGAGCGCGACTCCAAAGCTGTGATCAAGAATTGATACGAGTCACTCAGGCTGCCGAGGAGTGTGATCACCAGATCGTCCTCGCAGACTGGAGCCCCCACCGCTTCTAGCTGTTCCGCCAGCGTCTTGAGCTTGTTGATGTGTTCGAGCACATCGTCGCCTTCTTCCATCATTGTCGTGAAGAAGCGACGGCGCAAGAACAGCTTGTTGGCAAGACTCTTCTTCTCGAAGTGGTCTTCCAACCTTGACCATGCGTCGCATGCACCACTTGCCGACCGGACCAACGGTAGCTGGGAATCTTCCATGGCTAGACAGATCACTGCCATCGCCTTTCTTGACTTCCTCTTGTACGTCGCTTGGTCCAACTGAGTCTCGCACTGTTCCGCCTTGATCTCACCGCTGACGACCTCCCATAGGTCCCGTTCCTCCAGCACCATCTGCATCTTGAACTTCCAGGCGTGGAAGTTAGTTCCATCGAACTTGGAGATGCGGAGGGAGGAGGCGTCCATGGCAGCTAAGCTTGAATTGTTGGCGGTTTCAGAGTCTGACGAACTTGGGCTCATAACCTGATGAACTTTAGACTTCTTGGTCCGAGTGCAAAACGCAAAGTGAATATATATTTATAATAGGTACTTAGTTCGCAACTTTGAATACTACCTCTAAGCCTATTATTCGCAGTGACGTCATCCAGTGACGTCACCCACTGACGTCATCCAATGACGTCATTTCCTGACTTCGCCCTTACTGGTACATACCGGTACCCACCGGTATAGCGAAGCTTGGTCTTCCACTTGCTTCAACACTTGGCGCAGCTTGACGAGGTGTCTTCTTCACAGCCGCTGTCTTTGCAACAACGCGTTTATCCTGATGGGTGCTCCGGTGAGCTGGGGAAGCAAAAAGCAGTCAAGTGTGTCGCTGTCAACAAGTGAAGCTGAGTACATTGCACTAAGTCTGGCGATTCAAGAAGGCAAGTGGGTGCATCGATTGCTGTGCGAGATTCTGGATGCCGCAGAGGACAAGTCTGGACCCGAGCTCAAGATCATGGAAGACAACCAGTCGTGCATCAAGATGACGAAGAATCCTGTGAACCATGGTCGGGCCAAGCACATCGACATCAAGTACCACCACATTCGTGATGAAGTCAAGCGTGGTGATGTCAAGTTGGAGTACTGTGAGACTACGATCATGTTGGCGGACATCATGACGAAGGGACTGCCAGGACCGCGTCACAAGGACTTGACGGCAGCGCTCGGCATACACGCGTGTTCGCATTGAGGGGGCGTATTGTGGGTTGACGGTTGAGGTACTGCTATCAGCTACCATGGGAACCGTAAACCTGTCCAAGTCGATCCCGCGTAATTACGGTGAGTTTTTACCAATGATTAGACGCATAGGATGATTGGATGACCTACATGATTTATGATTCATGATTTATATGTGGACAACATATAAATCAGTGCAGAGATAAATCAGGTAGCTTTAACAAAACCCACAAATAAATTCACTTCCAAATATTCCTTCTCCTACACAAGTCGTCTTCACTTCGCAGTGTAGACTTCTTTCAAGCCTTTCAAGCTTCGTTCTCTCGTCCAGTGCTCTTCAGACTTTACCAGATCGCCGTCATTGCTGCTTCAGTCCAAAAACACTTGTCCAGCTTGGTGTAGTGAAGCATTCTGCGCCCAATCGTCACAATGGTCCGAATTGCCCGTTCCACCGTGCCGCTGATCCGTTGCGCTTATAAAACGGTAACTTTTGCTCGATTCCTTGATCATCGTAAAATGCCTTGAGCGAATTCGCCGCAAATTCTCGTGCACCATCGTGTCGAACGAACTTGACCTTGTAGTCAAACTGCGTCTGTACTGCCATGATGTACTTCTTGATGCACTCTTCGCTGTCGGACTTGGCGCGCAGACTGAAACCCTTCATACATCCGCTGCCTTCATCGACGATCAGTAGTAAGTACTTGCTTGCACCTAGCGAGTCGACTTCCATTGGACCACAAGTGTCGATGTGTAGAAGCTCAAACGGATCGTAGTGGCGCTTGTTTGGATTGCTCGGGAACGGTCGTTGAACCATTTTTCCTTCTAGACAACCTTGACACACGCTTGATCCGCTCAATTTTGCTGGCTTCTTGGCATCCTTGATCATGCCCTTGGAGACCATTCTGCACAAGACAATAACCGGTGCGTGGCCCATACGCGCATGAAGGTTTTAGACTCTTAGTCCTGAAGCCGCATTCGCGGATCGCTGGGTTGTACGAAGCCAGTAGAGGCCATCCACAAGATCGGCCATCGCTATTACTTGCTTGGAGCCTTTGTTCGAAATCTTCATCTCGTCACCATCAAACACCACTTGAAACTTGCCGCTTTTGTTGATTTGTGGTATCGAAAGCAAGTTTTTGTTCATGCTTGGGACGTAAAGCGCATTCTTGATCTCGACTTCGCGCTCTTCACCGTTGGACAGGGTCACCTTTTCGATGATTGTCCCGACACCGTTGATCGCAGCCTTGTTCCCATCTGCAACCAACACTTCGCCTTCATTGCGCTCGTCCTCAGAAATTCGAACTTGGACTTGTCATAGCAGATGTGATGTGTTGCACCGCTATCAATCGCCCACATTCCAGACATGCTCTTGGTCGTTGAAAGTCCGCATTCCAGCGAAACAGCAAACGCCACTCGATCATAGTCACAGTTGCTGTTGCCGTTGTAGCCTTGCCACTGAACTTGATTCGCTCCGCGTCCACGTGCATTGCCGCCGCGTCGAGCTCCCCGATTGTCTTCCTTCTGCTTGATCCAGCACTTTTCCACCGTGTGCCCCAATTTTCCGCAGAACGTACACTGACGAACCTCACGCTCGGTACTGAAGGCCTTGGTCGCTTCTTCAGTTTTCACCGATGTCGTCTTTTTCCCTTGTCTCTTGATGTGCTCATTCGTCAGTACTTTCACGACGTCTTGCGTCCGCAGTTCCGCGCTGCTCATCTCCAAGTTCAGCACGACGTTCTCGTAGCTCTTGGGGAGGCTGCACAACAAGCAGATCGCCACGTCCTCATCCTCCATCTTGGCGCCGATGCTGCTGATCTTGGCGCTGATGTTGAGAACTTCATTGCAATGATGCATTACATTGCCGCCTTCCGCCATCTCCATGCTGAACAGCTGCCGCTTCAAGAAAATCCGTCCAGCCTTCTGCGATCCGCCGTAGAGAGTCTTCAACCGTGTCCACGCAACCCATGCCTCGTCGCAGTCATCAACCACGTGATGATAGTCCGCGCTCATGTGAAGTAACATCAAGCCGAACACAATGTTGTTCGTCTTGACGTACTCATCACTGGCGCGAGGATCGGCGAAGGTGGGGGTGGTCTCCCGGTTGACCACGTGCCACGTCGACTTGGTCAGGAACACGCCACGCATGTAGCGGCTCCACGTCGCGTAGTTGTCTCCATCGAATCTATCGATAGAGATCTTGGTGGCGGAATCTTGAGTAGAGGACATCGTGCTTGGGCTCATAACCTGTTAAAGTCTGAAGAACACTGGACGAGAGAACGAAGCTTGAAGAACGCTGAAGAAGTCTGCACTGCAAAGTGTAGACGACTTGTGCTGAAGAAGGAATATTTGGAAGTGAATTTATTTGTGGGTTTTGTTAAAGCTACCTGATTTATCTATGCACTGATTTATATGTTGTCCACATATAAATCATGAATCATAAATCATGTAGGTCATCCAATCATCCTATGCGTCTATTTATTGGTAAAAACTCACCGCAATTACGCGGGATCGACTTGGACAGGTTTACGGTTCCCATGGTAGCTGATAGCAGTACCTCAACCGTCAACCCACAATACGCCCCCTCAATGCGAACACGCGTGTATGCCGAGCGCTGCCGTCAAGTCCTTGTGACGCGGTCCTGGCAGTCCCTTCGTCATGATGTCCGCCAACATGATCGTAGTCTCACAGTACTCCAACTTGACATCACCACGCTTGACTTCATCACGAATGTGGTGGTACTTGATGTCGATGTGCTTGGCCCGACCATGGTTCACAGGATTCTTCGTCATCTTGATGCACGACTGGTTGTCTTCCATGATCTTGAGCTCGGGTCCAGACTTGTCCTCTGCGGCATCCAGAATCTCGCACAGCAATCGATGCACCCACTTGCCTTCTTGAATCGCCAGACTTAGTGCAATGTACTCAGCTTCACTTGTTGACAGCGACACACTTGACTGCTTTTGCTTCCCCAGCTCACCGGAGCACCCATCAGGATAAACGCGTATCCTATAGTCGACTTGCGGTCTGCATGGTCGCCGGCCCAGTCTGCATCCGAGTAGCCACAGAAGTCTATCTTGTCATCAGGCTTGAAACAGATACCGTGCGACTTAGTTGTTGAAAAGACAGCGGCTGTGAAGAAGACACCTCGTCAAGCTGCGTCAAGTGTTGAAGCAAGTGGAAGACCAAGCTTCGCTATACCGGTGGGTACCGGTATGTACCAGTAAGGGCGAAGTCAGGAAATGACGTCACTGGATGACGTCATTGCATGACGTCAGTGGGTGACGTCAGTGGGTGACGTCACTGGATGACGTCACTGCGAATAATAGGCTTAGAGGTAGTATTCAAAGTTGCGAACTAAGTACCTATTATAAATATATATTCACTTTGCGTTTTGCACTCGGACCAAGAAGTCTAAAGTTCATCAGGTTATGAGCCCAAGTTCGTCAGACTCTGAAACCGCCAACAATTCAAGCTTAGCTGCCATGGACGCCTCCTCCCTCCGCATCTCCAAGTTCGATGGAACTAACTTCCACGCCTGGAAGTTCAAGATGCAGATGGTGCTGGAGGAACGGGACCTATGGGAGGTCGTCAGCGGTGAGATCAAGGCGGAACAGTGCGAGACTCCAGTTGGACCAAGCGACGTACAAGAGGAAGTCAAGAAAGGCGATGGCAGTGATCTGTCTGGCCATGGAAGATTCCCAGCTACCGTTGGTCCGGTCGGCAAGTGGTGCATGCGACGCATGGTCAAGGTTGGAAGACCACTTCGAGGAAGAAGAGTCTTGCCAACAAGCTGTTCTTGCGCCGTCGCTTCTTCACGACAATGATGGAAGAAGGCGACGATGATTGCTCGAACACATCAACAAGCTCAAGACGCTGGCGGAACAGCTAGAAGCGGTGGGGGCTCCAGTCTGCGAGGACGATCTGGTGATCACACTCCTCGGCAGCCTGAGTGACTCGTATCAATTCTTGATCACAGCTTTGGAGTCGCGCTCAGACACTCTTAGCTGGGAGCTCGTGACGTCTCGACTGCTTCATGAAGAAAGTGAAGCGGAAGGAGCAAGGAAGTAAAGGGTGATGAAGCTTCGCAAGGTCAAGCGTTCATCACAAGGGACAATCAGCGCAAAGGGCGACCAGTGAAGAAGTCCTGGCCGTGCCACAATTGCGGAAAGATTGGTCATTGGATGGCGGAGTGCCCCTCGCGCATCCAAGAAAACACGGAGAGACACCGGCCACAGCGTGCTCAAGACAGCGGCGACCGCTATCGATCACAACGTGCAAACGTCGCTCAAGAAGAAGACTCGGGCGACTACCTCTTTCGATCGGTGAAACGACATCTGCGAAATCGAGCGACATCTGGCTGGTCGACTCCGGGGCGACGCAGCACATGACGTGCTCCAAGAAGTTCATGCGGAACTACAAGGGGTTTGACGCTGTGGATGTCCATCTCGCGGATGATGGAATCGTCCAAGCAATCGGCAGTGGGGACATTGTCATGTCGATGAAGACACCCCAAGGGATGAAGAAAGGTGTGCTCACAAACGTGTGGCACATCCCAAAGTTATCCAGAAACCTGTTCTCGGTCGGCCGCTTCACCAAGGATGTCGGCCCAGTGACGTTCACGAAGGATGGGTGCTATGGAGAAGCGAAAGGGACCAAGTGGAAAATTGGTGCCCGTGAAGGTAAAGGACTGTTCAAGCTGCAAATGACTCCAGTGGCGCCGGAACAAGCAAATGCAGCCAAGTCGTCGGGATGTCAAGGGGGCACCAAGTCGTACCTCTGGCACCTTCGGCTTGGCCACATAGGTCACGATGGACTCAATTGCATCGTGACGAAGAACATTGGAATTGGCATCGACATATCTTCGGTGAAGAAGTGGGACGTGTGTGAAGGTTGTGCTCTGGGAAAACAGACTCGAGTGCGCTTCCAATCAAACACTACAGCTCGCACCTCCAAACTCCTCGAAGTGATTCACAGCGACGTATGCGGACCGATGTCGATGGCAACTTTCAGTGGAAAACGGTACTTCGTGACATTCATCGATGACAAGTCAAGATACTGTGTCGTCTATCTGCTCAAGAGCAAATCTGAAGTTGCGGCGAAGTTCATGGAATACGCTGCGATGGCCGAAACGCAAACCGGAAAGCGCGTGAAGTACCTTCAAAGCGACAATGGGGGGTGAATACAAGTCCGACAAGCTGGCACGATTCTGCGCGGAACGGGGAATACAACAAAGGTTCACACACCCATATACTCCTCAGCTAAACGGGAGTAGCTGAGAGAATGAATCGCACGCTGGTCGAGTGTGCGCGTTGCATGATGGAACACGCTGGACTGGGAAAGAGCTACTGGGGTGAAGCAGTGATGACGGCGATGTTTCTTCGAAACCGCTGTCCAACACGTGCCATTCACCAAGACAAGTCTCCATATCAAGTGTGGACGATGAAGAAACCGATTCTGGCCAACCTTAAAGTGTTTGGATGCCACGCGTATGTTCAAGTGCCTCAAGACAAACGCGCGAAGTTCGACTCCAAGTCATCACTCTGTCGTTTCCTGGGATACGCCGAACACCAGAAGTCATATCGATTTGAGGAAGTGTCAACAGGAGCGATCAAGATCAGTCGCGATGCCACATTCATGGAAGACAAGTTTGATGAAGGTCCGCGCAACTACAACGATGAGTCAAGTGTCGTTGAGTTTGATGATCATGATGAGGACGAAGAAAAAGAAGAAGGTAAAACTGACGACGACATGGACTCGAGCGACGATGACAACGAAGACACCAGGTCTTCGAAGAGCAACATCAAGAGACACACGCGCACTCAATCACTTGAGAAAGCTACCGTCATTCCAAGTCCCAAGCGAAGAACGTACAGAGGTCCGTCGCTTGAGCATGTGTCAGCGGCTGCAATGGATTTTGAAGCAGCCTACATCGTTGATTCAGTGGGGAAACGCCGACTACATTCAAGTCGGCGATGGAATCAAGCGACTCCGGCAAGTGGAAAGAAGCGTGTGACTCGGAGTTCGATTCGCTTCAGAGAAACGACACGTGGGAAATCGTGCCTCTTCCGAAAGGTCGCAAGGCCATCGGGTGCCGATGGGTTTTTCGTGTAAAGGAGAATCAAGATGGCGAAGTTGAACGTTTCAAGGCAAGACTTGTGGCCAAAGGATTCTCACAGAAATTCGGAGTTGACTATGAAGAAACTTTCGCACCGGTGGCCAAGTTCACATCGATTCGTGTGGTGCTCAGTATGGCGGCGAAGTACGGCCTAATGCTACATCAGATGGACGTCAAGACAGCGTTTCTTAACGGCTCCTCAACGAAGACATCTACATGGACCAGCCGGACGGATACCTGGATGCAACACAGCCGGACTATGTGTGCAAGCTAAAGAGATCACTCTACGGCTTGAAGCAATCGCCTCGCATGTGGAACCAAACAATCGATGGGTTCATGATCAAGATGGGATTCAAGAAGTGCGAATCGGACCACTGCATCTACATCAAGCGAGACGACCAAGACATGATTCTCGTGGTGCTCTACGTCGATGATCTCATCCTGGCCAGCAGCAACAACGAACTCCTCAAGTCGACCAAGATGGCGCTGGAGCAAACGCTTCGAAATGACGGATCTCGGTGAGCTCGATTACTTTCTCGGCATGGAGATCAAGAACGACCGTAAGACGGGAATGGTGACTGTGCAACAAACCAAGTTTCTCAAGTCCGTGTTGACCAAGTTCGGAATGGATAACAGCAAGCCAGTGAAGACGCCTCAAGATCCCGGCCTGAAGCTAACCAAGAACATGTGTGAACAAGAATGCAAGCACGAAGACACCATGTGCAACGTGCCATATCAAAGTGCTGTCGGAGGCATCATGTATCTCATGGTTGCCACACGTCCGGATCTAGCTGCTGCAGTGGGATCATTATCCCAGTTCTCGTCCGACCCATGCCCGACTCACTGGCAAGCTTTGAAGCGTGTGCTGAGATACCTGCAAGCAACGCCCAATCATGGTCTTGAGTTTACACGTGAAGAAGGAAGCCGTATCTGCGGGTACACCGACGCAGACTGGGCCGGCGACATTGAGTCAAGACGTGTTGTAACTTGAGCGCGAGGCGAAGAGAAAACGAAGCGGAGAGACCGGAGAGAACGAAGCAGAGAACACTTGCTCACTTGAGGGAGGATTCGAAAGTGATTGATTTATAGGTCTTAACTTCTGCCTACCCTAGACTGCATCCAATCACATGGTGCATCTAATCAACCTGATTTACACGCGTCCAATCATCCTACGCGTCTAATCATCTCTGAGGTAATTACCGATGTAAAAACTATTTTGTAAGAACTACGCGCTAGGTTCGGATTGTACCGGTTACCCTCAATCCCCCCCCATCAATACGAACACGTGCGGATGCCAAGCGCCTCTGTCAGCTCCTTGTGACGCGGTCCGTGAAGTCCCTTGGTCATGATGTCCGCCAACATCAACGTCGTCTCGCAGTATTCAAGCTTCACTTCGCCGCGCTTGACTTCATCACGGATGTGATGGTACTTGATGTCGATGTGTTTAGCGCGGCCGTGGTTGACCGGATTCTTCGTCATCTTGATGCACGACTGGTTGTCTTCACGGATGACGAGCTCGGGTCCTTCTTCGTTTGCAGCCGCCATGATTTCGCACAGCAAGCGATTGATCCACTTGCCTTCTTGGATCGCCAGGCTGAGCGCGATGTACTCCGCTTCGCTTGTAGACAGTGACACACTTGGCTGTTTCTTGCTGCCCCAACTCACCGGAGCACCCAATAGCATGAAGACGTAGCCGGACGTCGATTTGCGATCAGCAAGGTCACCGGCCCAGTCTGCATCTGAATAGCCACGAAAGTCGATCTTCGCACTTGGCTTGTAGCAGATTCCATGCATCTTGGTGCCTTGTAGGTAGCGGAAGATGCGCTTGACTGCAACCCAGTGTTCTTCTTGGGGTTTCTCCATGAACCGTGACACAAAAGCTTACAGCATAGGCGATGTCCGGTCGCGTTGCAGTCGTCAGATGCATCAAAGCACCCACTGCTTCACGGAATGGGACATCCACCTTGCTTGCAGAGTTGCTTGGAACCAGTCGAGAGCTGACGTCCACCGGACTTGCCACAGCCTTGCACTCATCCATTCCAAAGCGCTTGAGGACATCGTCGACATAACGGCGCTGACACATAGTCACGCTGCCATCTTCACCGTTCAATAACTCGATCCCAAGAACAAAGGCACACTTGCCGCTGTCCGTCATCTCGAAGCGTGTCTTGAGGTCGTTCTTGGTGCGCGCAATCATCTCGAGCGAGCTTCCAGTCACCAAGACATCGTCCACGTAGACCAGCACAAAAACACAATGGCCTTCCGAAGTCATGATGTAGAGACATGGATCGAATCCCGACGCTTGAAAACCAATCGAGCGTATGAACTCGTCGAAGGTCTCGTTCCAAACACGCGAGGCTTGCTTGAGACCGTAGATCGCCTTGATCAGCTCGAGACAGTCGAAATCACCTTCCATCTTGACGCCTTCCGGAACAGCGCAGAACACCTTCTCCTTCATCACTCCATACAGGAACGCAGTCACCACATCGATCTGGTCGAGGGGCCATCCAAAGTGCTTGGTAATGGCGATGACCATTCGCAGCGTCACATACTCTGACCACGGGCGAGAACGTCTCCGTGTAGTCAATGCCATACTTTTGGCGAAAACCCTTGGCCACAAGTCGTGCCTTTGTATTTCTCGATTGACCCATCCGCCTTGCGCTTGATCTTGAAGACCCACTTTGTGCCAATGGCGCTTTGTCCGTTGGGTAACTTGGCCGCACGAAAGACACCGCGAAGCTTCATCGAATCGAGCTCCGCATCAATTGCCTTTGCGCCAGTGTACTTGGTCCGGGCCAGATACTGCTTCTTCAAATGTCGACGGCTCCGAAAAATCGACCGCTGCTTCGACGGCGTTTGCACTCGCATGCCAAAACGCGGAGGAAGTCGGTGTGTCATGTTGTTCCTCCGACTTCCTTTCTTCATCTTCGTTGGCTCGACGTGAAGAGAGGTCATCCGGCGCACTTGACTCTTCCAATCCGGGTCGTTGGCGCACTGCTCGGGGCATGCTTGCGTCGTCATTGTCGTGACTGGGTTGGGCCTTGCGCTTTCCTGTTTGTTTGAAGTGTCTCGGACGCGGTTCTTCATCATCAAGATCGATCGATTCGAAGTCCAGGCCATCAACATCGTCATCGGAAATCAGCATCGACATTCCAAAGGCCGACTCATCGAAGTTGACATCGCGACTTATCATCACCTGCCCCGCTTCGATGTCGTAAACTCGATACGCCTTGGACACTTCTTCGTAGCCCAAAAACAATCCAGCCCGGGCCTTGGGATCCCACTTGAGTCGTTTCTCCTTCGGGGTCAAGATGTATGCTTGGCACCCAAAAACGCGCATGTGCTTGACACTTGGCTCAGAATTGTAGACAATCTCGAACGGTGTCTTGTGTGGAATCTTGGGTGACGGCAAACGGTTCTTCACATAGACGGCCGTCATTGCCGCTTCAGCCCAGAAGCACTTGTCCAACTTGGCATGATGGAGCATGCTACGACCGATGGTGACGATAGTTCGAATCGCGCGTTCAGCAGTTCCATTGGCTTGATGTGCGTATGGCACCGTGGTTTGTTGCTCGATGCCTTCGACTTCGTAGAAATCTTGAAGCGAGTTCGTCGCAAACTCGCGGGCTCCATCGTGTCGCACAAATTTGACCTTCTTGTTGAACTGCGTCTGTATCATCGTGATGTACTTCTTGATGCACTCTTTCGCTCTCTGACTTGGAATGCAGACAAAAACCCTTCATGCATCCGCTGGCTTCATCCACGATCAGCAGCAGATACTTGCTGCCACCCAGAGATTTTTCTTCCATGGGTCCGCAGATGTCGAAGTGGAGCATCTCGAAGGTGTTGTAGGTGCGCTTGTCACGGTTGCTCGGGAATGGTTTTTGGACCATCTTCCCTTCTTGGCATCCTCGACACACACTTGATCCATTCGGCTTGGAAGGGATGTGAGCGTCCTTGATCATGTGGCTTGTCACCATCCTGCGAAGCACGTCGACTGGAGCATGGCCCATTCGCGCATGTAGATCAACAGCGTTGCTGAGTGATGTCGCATTGGCCGATCGCTGCGTCGTGCGAAGCCAGTAGAGTCCGTCTACAAGATCCGCAGCTGCCACCACTTGATTGGAATCCTTGCGAGCGACGTACATCGTATCCCCGTCAAACACCACTTGGAAGTTGCCGTGCTTGTTAATCTGCGGCACCGAGAGCAGATTTTTGCTCATGCTGGGCACATAGAGCGCGTTCTTGATCTCGATCTCGCGCTCTTCCCCCGTTTGGCAGAATCACCTTTTCCACGATGGTCCCCACACCTTTGATGGCCGCCTTGTTGCCATCAGCCACCAGGATCTCGCCATCATTGCCTTCGACCAAGCTTGCAAACTTGAACTTGTCGTGGCAGATGTGATGTGTTGCCCCGCTGTCAACGGCCCACATTTCTGGTCCATTCTTGTTCGTCGAAACTCCGCATTCGAACGAAACTGCAAACGCCACTCGATCGTAGCTGTTGCCTTCATCATAATGTCGCCAGTGGACATTGTTTGACCCGCGTCGACGACCATTGCCGCCGCGTTGGGCTCCTCGACTTTCATCCTTTTGCTTCGTCCAGCAACGCTCTGCCGTGTGCCCCACCTTGCCGCAGTATGTGCATTGGTAGGGCTTGCGCTCGGTACTAAATGCCTTTGTCGCATCTTCAGTCTTCACCGTTGTCGTTGCCGTTGTCATCTTCTCGCCTTGTCGCTTGATGTGCTCGTTAGTCAGCACCTTGACCACATCTTGCGTGCGCAGCTCTGCATTGCTCATCTCCAAGTTGAGAACCACGTTCTCGAAACTATTGGGCAGACTGCGCAGTAAGCAGATCGCAATGTCTTCGTCTTCCATCTTGGCACCGATGCTGCTGAGCTTGGCGCCGATGTTCAAGACTTCGTTGCAATGGTGCAAGACGTTGGCACCTTCCGCCATCTTGATGCTGAACAGCTGGCGCTTGAGGTAGATGCGTCCCGCCTTCTGCGACCCACCATAGAGCATCTTCAACCGCGACCACGCTGTCCATGCTTCTTCACAGTTGTCGACCACATGGTGGTAGTCGGCGTCCATGTGGAGCAACATCAACCCGAACGCGATGTTGCTCGCCTTGACGTACTCGTCGGAAGCTCGCGTGTCGGTGAAGGTTGGAGACGTTTCGCGGTTCACGACGTACCAGACTGACTTCGTCAGAAACACACCGCGCATGTAGCGACACCAGGTTGAGTAGTTGTCCCCATCGAACTTATCGATGGAGACACTGGCCGAGGTGTTGTTGGACGACATGGCGCTTGGGCTCATAACCTGTTGTAACTTGAGCGCGAGGCGAAGAGAAAACGAAGCGGAGAGACCGGAGAGAACGAAGCAGAGAACACTTGCTCACTTGAGGGGAGGATTCGAAAGTGATTGATTTATAGGTCTTAACTTCTGCCTACCCTAGACTGCATCCAATCACATGGTGCATCTAATCAACCTGATTTACACGCGTCCAATCATCCTACGCGTCTAATCATCTCTGAGGTAATTACCGATGTAAAAACTATTTTGTAAGAACTACGCGCTAGGTTCGGATTGTACCGGTAACTCTCAATACACTCTGGTCCACCAACAGCATCTTCAAACGTTGTCGGCTCAGACAAGTCAGTACCTTCTGACTGCATTGGCACTCGCTCGCCAAAAGACTTGAGGTGTAGCATCCTCGTTATCTTCGTCACTGCCCTTTTGCTCTTCGTCCAGATTGTCTCGAGCGCTTGATCGTCGCTTCGCTTGGTGCGATTCAGAGTCATCCGGGGCACTTGCTTTCTTCTAACCCGGTTCCACGACGCTCAAGAAGTGTCCGTTGTAGAACTTGTTCTTGACTGTTTGAACGGCTTTTGCGTTTTCCAGTTTGCTTTAACTGCATGGGGTGAGGCTCATCGCTGATGCTCATCGATTCGATATCCAGCGCAGTGTCATCGACAATTTCTTGTGGTAGCCTCGGCGAGAAACCAAGCGTTGATTCGTCGAATGTGACATCGCGAGATATCACCACTTGATCCGCTTCAATGTCGTAAACGCGATATGCCTTTGACACTTCTTCGTACCACATGAATAGTCCTTCACGAGCCTTCGGATCCCATTTCGATCTCTTTTCCTTAGGGGTCAGCACAAACGTTCGGCAGCCGAAAACCCGCATGTGCTTCACACTTGGTCGAAATCCGTTGACGATCTCGAACGGGGTTTGATCTTGGCACTTGGGCGATGGTAGGCGATTCTTGATGTAGATTGCCGTCATTGCTGCTTCAGCCCAAAAACACTTGTCCAGCTTGGTGTTGATGAACTTTAGACTTCTTGGTCCGAGTGCAAAACGCAAAGTGAATATATATTTATAATAGGTACTTAGTTCGCAGCTTTGAATACTACCTCTAAGCCTATTATTCGCAGTGACGTCATCCAGTGACGTCACCCACTGACGTCACCCACTGACGTCACCCACTGACGTCATGCAATGACGTCATCCAGTGACGTCACCCACTGACGTTATCCAATGACGTCATTTCCTGACTTCGCCCTTACTGGTACATACCGGTACCCACCGGTATAGCGAAGCTTGGTCTTCCACTTGCTTCAACACTTGACGCAGCTTGACGAGGTGTCTTCTTCACAGCCGCTGTCTTTTCAACATAGCGAAGCTTGGTCTTCCACTCTGCTTCAACACTTGACGCAGCTTGACGAGGTGTCTTCTTCACAGCCGCTGTCTTTTCAACACTCCCTCTCGACTCGTTAGCTGCGGCACCTTGGATCCCAAGTCGATCGCGAATGTTTTCAAATTGTACAGCGGCGATCGGCTTGGTCATCATGTCTGCCAGCATATCTTGAGTCGGGCAATACTCCAAAACGACTTCACCTGATTCCACCTTCTCACGCACAAAATGGTAGCGTATGTCGATGTGTTTTGTTCTCTTCTATGGAACTCCGGGTTCTTGGCGAGAGCGATTGATCCTTGGTTGTCTTCATACATCTTGATCGCTTCGTCGCTTGTCATCTCACCAAGTTCCCCAAAAGCACCTTGAGCCATACTGCTTCTTTGGTTGCTTCGGAAAGCGCCATGTATTCTGCTTCTGTTGAAGATAGCGCGACCGTCCGTTGTTTCTGGCTTTTCCAGCTGATGCATCCTCCGTTCATCATGAACACATAGCCGCTTGTACTTCGGCTTGACTCAATGTCGCCGGCCCAGTCTGCGTCGGTGTACCCGCAGATACGGCTTCCTTCTTCACGTGTAAACTCAAGACCATGATTGGGCGTTGCTTGCAGGTATCTCAGCACACGCTTCAAAGCTTGCCAGTGAGTCGGGCATGGGTCGGACGAGAACTGGGATAATGATCCCACTGCAGCAGCTAGATCCGGACGTGTGGCGACCATGAGATACATGATGCCTCCGACAGCACTTCGATATGGCACGTTGCACATGGTGTCTTCGTGCTTGCATTCTTGTTCACACATGTTCTTGGTTAGCTTCAGGCCGGGATCTTGAGGCGTCTTCACTGGCTTGCTGTTATCCATTCCGAACTTGGTCAACACGGACTTGAGAAACATGGTTTGTTGCACAGTCACCATTCCCGTCTTACGGTCGTTCTTGATCTCCATGCCAAGAAAGTAATCGAGCTCACCGAGATCCGTCATTTCGAAGCGTTTGCTCAGCGCCATCTTGGTCGACTTGAGGAGTTCGTTGTTGCTGCTGGCCAGGATGAGATCATCGACGTAGAGCACCACGAGAATCATGTCTTGGTCGTCTCGCTTGATGTAGATGCAGTGGTCCGATTCGCACTTCTTGAATCCCATCTTGATCATGAACCCATCGATTGTTTGGTTCCACATGCGAGGCGATTGCTTCAAGCCGTAGAGTGATATCTTTAGCTTGCACACATAGTCCGGCTGTGTTGCATCCAGGTATCCGTCCGGCTGGTCCATGTAGATGTCTTCGTTGAGGGAGCCGTTAAGAAACGCTGTCTTGACGTCCATCTGATGTAGCATTAGGCCGTACTTGGCCGCCATACTGAGCACCACACGAATCGATGTGAACTTGGCCACCGGTGCGAAAGTTTCTTCATAGTCAACTCCGAATTTCTGTGAGAATCCTTTGGCCACAAGTCTTGCCTTGAAACGTTCAACTTCGCCATCTTGATTCTCCTTTACACGAAAAACCCATCGGCACCCGATGGCCTTGCGACCTTTCGGAAGAGGCACGATTTCCCACGTGTCGTTTCTCTGAAGCGAGTCAAACTCCGAGTCACACGCTTCTTTCCACTTGCCGGAGTCGCTTGATTCCATCGCCGACTTGAATGTAGTCGGCGTTTCCCCCACTGAATCAACGATGTAGGCTGCTTCAAAATCCATTGCAGCCGCTGACACATGCTCAAGCGACGGACCTCTGTACGTTCTTTGCTTGGGACTTGGAATGACGGTAGCTTTCTCAAGTGATTGAGTGCGCGTGTGTCTCTTGATGTTGCTCTTTGAAGACCTGGTGTCTTCGTTGTCATCGTCGCTCGAGTCCATGTCGTCGTCAGTTTTACCTTCTTCTTTTTCTTCGTCCTCGTCTTGATCATCAAACTCAACGGCACTTGACTCATCGTTGTAGTTGCGCGGACCTTCATCAAACTTGTCTTCCATGAATGTGGCATCGCGACTGTTATAACTTGAGCGCGAGGCGAAGAGAAAACGAAGCGGAGAGACCGGAGAGAACGAAGCAGAGAACACTTGCTCACTTGAGGGAGGATTCGAAAGTGATTGATATATAGGTCTTAACTTCTGCCTACCCTAGACTGCATCCAATCACATGGTGCATCTAATCAACCTGATTTACACGCGTCCAATCATCCTACGCGTCTAATCATCTCTGAGGTAATTACCGATGTAAAAACTATTTTGTAAGAACTACGCGCTAGGTTCGGATTGTACCGGTAACTCTCAATACACTCTGGTCCACCAACAGCATCTTCAAACGTTGTCGGCTCAGACAAGTCAGTACCTTCGACTGCATTGGCACTCGCTCGCCAAAAGACTTGAGGTGTAGCATCCTCGTTATCTTCGTCACTGCCCTTTTGCTCTTCGTCCAGATTGTCTCGAGCGCTTGATCGTCGCTTCGCTTGGTGCGATTCAGAGTCATCCGGGGCACTTGCTTTCTTCTAACCCGGTTCCACGACGCTCAAGAAGTGTCCGTTGTAGAACTTGTTCTTGACTGTTTGAACGGCTTTTGCGTTTTCCAGTTTGCTTTAACTGCATGGGGTGAGGCTCATCGCTGATGCTCATCGATTCGATATCCAGCGCAGTGTCATCGACAATTTCTTGTGGTAGCCTCGGCGAGAAACCAAGCGTTGATTCGTCGAATGTGACATCGCGAGATATCACCACTTGATCCGCTTCAATGTCGTAAACGCGATATGCCTTTGACACTTCTTCGTACCCCATGAATAGTCCTTCACGAGCCTTCGGATCCCATTTCGATCTCTTTTCCTTAGGGGTCAGCACAAACGTTCGGCAGCCGAAAACCCGCATGTGCTTCACACTTGGTCGAAATCCGTTGACGATCTCGAACGGGGTTTGATCTTGGCACTTGGGCGATGGTAGGCGATTCTTGATGTAGATTGCCGTCATTGCTGCTTCAGCCCAAAAACACTTGTCCAGCTTGGTGTTGATGAACTTTAGACTTCTTGGTCCGAGTGCAAAACGCAAAGTGAATATATATTTATAATAGGTACTTAGTTCGCAACTTTGAATACTACCTCTAAGCCTATTATTCGCAGTGACGTCATCCAGTGACGTCACCCACTGACGTCACCCACTGACGTCATGCAATGACGTCATCCAGTGACGTCACCCACTGACGTTATCCAATGACGTCATTTCCTGACTTCGCCCTTACTGGTACATACCGGTACCCACCGGTATAGCGAAGCTTGGTCTTCCACTTGCTTCAACACTTGACGCAGCTTGACGAGGTGTCTTCTTCACAGCCGCTGTCTTTTCAACATAGCGAAGCTTGGTCTTCCACTTGCTTCAACACTTGACGCAGCTTGACGAGGTGTCTTCTTCACAGCCGCTGTCTTTTCAACACTCCCTCTCGACTCGTTAGCTGCGGCACCTTGGATCCCAAGTCGATCGCGAATGTTTTCAAATTGTACAGCGGCGATCGGCTTGGTCATCATGTCTGCCAGCATATCTTGAGTCGGGCAATACTCCAAAACGACTTCACCTGATTCCACCTTCTCACGCACAAAATGGTAGCGTATGTCGATGTGTTTTGTTCTCTTATGGAACTCCGGGTTCTTGGCGAGAGCGATTGATCCTTGGTTGTCTTCATACATCTTGATCGCTTCGTCGCTTGTCATCTCACCAAGTTCCCCCAAAAGCACCTTGAGCCATACTGCTTCTTTGGTTGCTTCGGAAAGCGCCATGTATTCTGCTTCTTTTGAAGATAGCGCGACCGTCCGTTGTTTCTGGCTTTTCCAGCTGATGCATCCTCCGTTCATCATGAACACATAGCCGCTTGTACTTCGTCTTGACTCAATGTCGCCGGCCCAGTCTGCGTCGGTGTACCCGCAGATACGGCTTCCTTCTTCACGTGTAAACTCAAGACCATGATTGGGCGTTGCTTGCAGGTATCTCAGCACACGCTTCAAAGCTTGCCAGTGAGTCGGGCATGGGTCGGACGAGAACTGGGATAATGATCCCACTGCAGCAGCTAGATCCGGACGTGTGGCGACCATGAGATACATGATGCCTCCGACAGCACTTCGATATGGCACGTTGCACATGGTGTCTTCGTGCTTGCATTCTTGTTCACACATGTTCTTGGTTAGCTTCAGGCCGGGATCTTGAGGCGTCTTCACTGGCTTGCTGTTATCCATTCCGAACTTGGTCAACACGGACTTGAGAAACATGGTTTGTTGCACAGTCACCATTCCCGTCTTACGGTCGTTCTTGATCTCCATGCCAAGAAAGTAATCGAGCTCACCGAGATCCGTCATTTCGAAGCGTTTGTTCAGCGCCATCTTGGTCGACTTGAGGAGTTCGTTGTTGCTGCTGGCCAGGATGAGATCATCGACGTAGAGCACCACGATAATCATGTCTTGGTCGTCTCGCTTGATGTAGATGCAGTGGTCCGATTCGCACTTCTTGAATCCCATCTTGATCATGAACCCATCGATTGTTTGGTTCCACATGCGAGGCGATTGCTTCAAGCCGTAGAGTGATATCTTTAGCTTGCACACATAGTCCGGCTGTGTTGCATCCAGGTATCCGTCCGGCTGGTCCATGTAGATGTCTTCGTTGAGGGAGCCGTTAAGAAACGCTGTCTTGACGTCCATCTGATGTAGCATTAGGCCGTACTTGGCCGCCATACTGAGCACCACACGAATCGATGTGAACTTGGCCACCGGTGCGAAAGTTTCTTCATAGTCAACTCCGAATTTCTGTGAGAATCCTTTGGCCACAAGTCTTGCCTTGAAACGTTCAACTTCGCCATCTTGATTCTCCTTTACACGAAAAACCCATCGGCACCCGATGGCCTTGCGACCTTCGGAAGAGGCACGATTTCCCACGTGTCGTTTCTCTGAAGCGAGTCAAACTCCGAGTCACACGCTTCTTTCCACTTGCCGGAGTCGCTTGATTCCATCGCCGACTTGAATGTAGTCGGCGTTTCCCCACTGAATCAACGATGTAGGCTGCTTCAAAATCCATTGCAGCCGCTGACACATGCTCAAGCGACGGACCTCTGTACGTTCTTTGCTTGGGACTTGGAATGACGGTAGCTTTCTCAAGTGATTGAGTGCGCGTGTGTCTCTTGATGTTGCTCTTTGAAGACCTGGTGTCTTCGTTGTCATCGTCGCTCGAGTCCATGTCGTCGTCAGTTTTACCTTCTTCTTTTTCTTCGTCCTCGTCTTGATCATCAAACTCAACGGCACTTGACTCATCGTTGTAGTTGCGCGGACCTTCATCAAACTTGTCTTCCATGAATGTGGCATCGCGACTGTTATAACTTGAGCGCGAGGCGAAGAGAAAACGAAGCGGAGAGACCGGAGAGAACGAAGCAGAGAACACTTGCTCACTTGAGGGAGGATTCGAAAGTGATTGATTTATAGGTCTTAACTTCTGCCTACCCCTAGACTGCATCCAATCACATGGTGCATCTAATCAACCTGATTTACACGCGTCCAATCATCCTACGCGTCTAATCATCTCTGAGGTAATTACCGATGTAAAAACTATTTTGTAAGAACTACGCGCTAGGTTCGGATTGTACCGGTAACCCTCAATACGCCCCCTCAATCCGAACACGCACGGATGCCAAGCGCCGCCGTCAAGTCCTTGTGACGCGGTCCGTGAAGTCCCTTCGTCATGATGTCCGCCAACATCAACGTCGTCTCGCAGTATTCAAGCTTCACTTCGCCGCGCTTGACTTCATCACGGATGTGATGGTACTTGATGTCGATGTGTTTAGCGCGGCCGTGGTTGACCCGATTCTTCATCATCTTGATGCACGACTGGTTGTCTTCACGGATGACAAGCTCGGATCCTTCTTCGTTTGCAGCCGCCATGATTTCGCACAGCAAGCGATTGATCCACTTGCCTTCTTGGATCGCCAGGCTGAGCGCGATGTACTCCGCTTCGCTTGTAGACAGTGACACACTTGGCTGTTTCTTGCTGCCCCAACTCACCGGAGCACCCAATAGCATGAAGACGTAGCCGGACGTCGATTTGCGATCAGCAAGGTCACCGGCCCAGTCTGCATCTGAATAGCCACGAAAGTCGATCTTCGCACTTGGCTTGTAGCAGATTCCATGCATCTTGGTGCCTTGTAGGTAGCGGAAGATGCGCTTGACTGCAACCCAGTGTTCTTCTTGGGGTTTCTCCATGAACCGTGACACAAAGCTTACAGCATAGGCGATGCCCGGTCGCGTTGCAGTCGTCAGATGCATCAAAGCACCCACTGCTTCACGGAATAGGACATCCATCTTGCTTGCAGAGTTGCTCCGGAACCAGTCGAGAGCTGACGTCCACCGGACTTGCCACAGCCTTGCACTCATCCATTCCAAAGCGCTTGAGGACATCGTCGACATAACGGCGCTGACACATAGTCACGCTGCCATCTTCACCGTCCAATAACTCGATCCCAAGAACAAAGGCACACTTGCCGCTGTCCGTCATCTCGAAGCGTGTCTTGAGGTCGTTCTTGGTGCGCGCAATCATCTCGAGCGAGCTTCCAGTCACCAAGACATCGTCCACGTAGACCAGCACAAAAACACAATGGCCTTCCGAAGTCATGATGTAGAGACATGGATCGAATCCCGACGCTTGAAAACCAATCGAGCGTATGAACTCGTCGAAGGTCTCGTTCCAAACACGCGAGGCTTGCTTGAGACCGTAGATCGCCTTGATCAGCTCGAGACAGTCGAAATCACCTTCCATCTTGACGCCTTCCGGAACAGCGCAGAACACCTTCTCCTTCATCACTCCATACAGGAACGCAGTCACCACATCGAGCTGGTCGAGGGGCCATCCAAAGTGCTTGGTAATGGCGATGACCATTCGCAGCGTCACATACTTGACCACGGGCGAGAACGTCTCCGTGTAGTCGATGCCATACTTTTGGCGAAAACCCTTGGCCACAAGTCGTGCCTTGTATTTCTCGATCGACCCATCTGCCTTGCGCTTGATCTTGAAGACCCACTTTGTGCCAATGGCGCTTTGTCCGTTGGGTAACTTGGCCGCACGAAAGACACCGCGAAGCTTCATCGAATCGAGCTCCGCATCAATTGCCTTGCGCCAGTGTACTTGGTCCGGGCCAGACACTGCTTCTTCAAATGTCGACGGCTCCGAAAAATCGACCGCTGCTTCGACGGCGTTTGCACTCGCATGCCAAAACGCGGAGGAAGTCGGTGTGTCATGTTGTTCCTCCGACTTCCTTTCTTCATCTTCGTTGGCTCGACGTGAAGAGAGGTCATCCGGCGCACTTGACTCTTCCAATCCGGGTCGTTGGCGCACTGCTCGGGGCATGCTTGCGTCGTCATTGTCGTGACTGGGTTGGGCCTTGCGCTTTCCTGTTTGTTTGAAGTGTCTCGGACGCGGTTCTTCATCATCAAGATCGATCGATTCGAAGTCCAGGCCATCAACATCGTCATCGGAAATCAGCATCGACATTCCAAAGGCCGACTCATCGAAGTTGACATCGCGACTTATCATCACCTGCCCCGCTTCGATGTCATAAACTCGATACGCCTTGGACACTTCTTCGTAGCCCAAAAACAATCCAGCCCGGGCCTTGGGATCCCACTTGAGTCGTTTCTCCTTCGGGGTCAAGATGTATGCTTGGCACCCAAAAACGCGCATGTGCTTGACACTTGGCTTAGAATTGTAGACAATCTCGAACGGTGTCTTGTGTGGAATCTTGGGTGACGGCAAACGGTTCTTCACATAGACGGCCGTCATTGCCGCTTCAGCCCAGAAGCACTTGTCCAACTTGGCATGATGGAGCATGCTACGACCGATGGTGACGATAGTTCGAATCGCGCGTTCAGCAGTTCCATTGGCTTGATGTGCGTATGGCACCGTGGTTTGTTGCTCGATGTGTTGACGGTCATCGGTTTTCTACCAGTATTGGTAACCGTGACCGATCCAATCCGAACCGCCTGTTCAGCTTAGTATTTACGACGTAGTTCTTACGGTAATTACCATAGTTGATTAGACGCGTAGGATGATGAGACGCTTCACATGATTTATATGTACACCACATATAAATCATGTAGTAAGTAGTAAGCCCCGATAATCAATCACTTTCGAATCTTCCAACTATTGGGCAAGTGTTTTCTGCTCTACTCTCTTCGGTCTCTCCGCTCCGTTTGCTCCGCTTTCCTCGCTCCGACCTACAATGCTGTTGAAAAGACAGCGGCTGTGAAGAAGACACCTCGTCAAGCTGCGTCAAGTGTTGAAGCAAGTGGAAGACCAAGCTTCGCTATACCGGTGGGTACCGGTATGTACCAGTAAGGGCGAAGTCAGGAAATGACGTCACTGGATGACGTCATTGCATGACGTCAGTGGGTGACGTCAGTGGGTGACGTCACTGGATGACGTCACTGCGAATAATAGGCTTAGAGGTAGTATTCAAAGTTGCGAACTAAGTACCTATTATAAATATATATTCACTTTGCGTTTTGCACTCGGACCAAGAAGTCTAAAGTTCATCAGGTTATGAGCCCAAGTTCGTCAGACTCTGAAACCGCCAACAATTCAAGCTTAGCTGCCATGGACGCCTCCTCCCTCCGCATCTCCAAGTTCGATGGAACTAACTTCCACGCCTGGAAGTTCAAGATGCAGATGGTGCTGGAGGAACGGGACCTATGGGAGGTCGTCAGCGGTGAGATCAAGGCGGAACAGTGCGAGACTCAGTTGGACCAAGCGACGTACAAGAGGAAGTCAAGAAAGGCGATGGCAGTGATCTGTCTAGCCATGGAAGATTCCCAGCTACCGTTGGTCCGGTCGGCAAGTGGTGCATGCGACGCATGGTCAAGGTTGGAAGACCACTTCGAGAAGAAGAGTCTTGCCAACAAGCTGTTCTTGCGCCGTCGCTTCTTCACGACAATGATGGAAGAAGGCGACGATGTGCTCGAACACATCAACAAGCTCAAGACGCTGGCGGAACAGCTAGAAGCGGTGGGGGCTCCAGTCTGCGAGGACGATCTGGTGATCACACTCCTCGGCAGCCTGAGTGACTCGTATCAATTCTTGATCACAGCTTTGGAGTCGCGCTCAGACACTCTTAGCTGGGAGCTCGTGACGTCTCGACTGCTTCATGAAGAAATGAAGCGGAAGGAGCAAGGAAGTAAAGGTGATGAAGCTTCGCAAGGTCAAGCGTTCATCACAAGGGACAATCAGCGCAAAGGGCGACCAGTGAAGAAGTCCTGGCCGTGCCACAATTGCGGAAAGATTGGTCACTGGATGGCGGAGTGCCCCCTCGCGCATCCAAGAAAACACGGAGAGACACCGGCCACAGCGTGCTCAAGACAGCGGCGACCGCTATCGATCACAACGTGCAAACGTCGCTCAAGAAGAAGACTCGGGCGACTACCTCTTTTCGATCGGTGAAACGACATCTGCGAAATCGAGCGACATCTGGCTGGTCGACTCCGGGGCGACGCAGCACATGACGTGCTCCAAGAAGTTCATGCGGAACTACAAGGGGTTTGACGCTGTGGATGTCCATCTCGCGGATGATGGAATCGTCCAAGCAATCGGCAGTGGGGACATTGTCATGTCGATGAAGACACCCCAAGGGATGAAGAAAGGTGTGCTCACAAACGTGTGGCACATCCCAAAGTTATCCAGAAACCTGTTCTCGGTCGGCCGCTTCACCAAGGATGTCGGCCCAGTGACGTTCACGAAGGATGGGTGCTATGGAGAAGCGAAAGGGACCAAGTGGAAAATTGGTGCCCGTGAAGGTAAAGGACTGTTCAAGCTGCAAATGACTCCAGTGGCGCCGGAACAAGCAAATGCAGCCAAGTCGTCGGGATGTCAAGGGGGCACCAAGTCGTACCTCTGGCACCTTCGGCTTGGCCACATAGGTCACGATGGACTCAATTGCATCGTGACGAAGAACATTGAATTGGCATCGACATATCTTCGGTGAAGAAGTGGGACGTTTGTGAAGGTTGTGCTCTGGGAAAACAGACTCGAGTGCGCTTCCAATCAAACACTACAGCTCGCACCTCCAAACTCCTCGAAGTGATTCACAGCGACGTATGCGGACCGATGTCGATGGCAACTTTCAGTGGAAAACGGTACTTCGTGACATTCATTGATGACAAGTCAAGATACTGTGTCGTCTATCTGCTCAAGAGCAAATCTGAAGTTGCGGCGAAGTTCATGGAATACGCTGCGATGGCCGAAACGCAAACCGGAAAGCGCGTGAAGTACCTTCAAAGCGACAATGGGGGTGAATACAAGTCCGACAAGCTGGCACGATTCTGCGCGGAACGGGGAATACAACAAAGGTTCACACCCCCATATACTCCTCAGCTAAACGGAGTAGCTGAGAGAATGAATCGCACGCTGGTCGAGTGTGCGCGTTGCATGATGGAACACGCTGGACTGGGAAAGAGCTACTGGGGTGAAGCAGTGATGACGGCGATGTTTCTTCGAAACCGCTGTCCAACACGTGCCATTCACCAAGACAAGTCTCCATATCAAGTGTGGACGATGAAGAAACCGATTCTGGCCAACCTTAAAGTGTTTGGATGCCACGCGTATGTTCAAGTGCCTCAAGACAAACGCGCGAAGTTCGACTCCAAGTCATCACTCTGTCGTTTCCTGGGATACGCCGAACACCAGAAGTCATATCGATTTGAGGAAGTGTCAACAGGAGCGATCAAGATCAGTCGCGATGCCACATTCATGGAAGACAAGTTTGATGAAGGTCCGCGCAACTACAACGATGAGTCAAGTGTCGTTGAGTTTGATGATCATGATGAGGACGAAGAAAAAGAAGAAGGTAAAACTGACGACGACATGGACTCGAGCGACGATGACAACGAAGACACCAGGTCTTCGAAGAGCAAACATCAAGAGACACACGCGCACTCAATCACTTGAGAAAGCTACCGTCATTCCAAGTCCCAAGCGAAGAACATACAGAGGTCCGTCGCTTGAGCATGTGTCAGCGGCTGCAATGGATTTTGAAGCAGCCTACATCGTTGATTCAGTGGGGGAAACGCCGACTACATTCAAGTCGGCGATGGAATCAAGCGACTCCGGCAAGTGGAAAGAAGCGTGTGACTCGGAGTTCGATTCGCTTCAGAGAAACGACACGTGGGAAATCGTGCCTCTTCCGAAAGGTCGCAAGGCCATCGGGTGCCGATGGGTTTTTCGTGTAAAGGAGAATCAAGATGGCGAAGTTGAACGTTTCAAGGCAAGACTTGTGGCCAAAGGATTCTCACAGAAATTCGGAGTTGACTATGAAGAAACTTTCGCACCGGTGGCCAAGTTCACATCGATTCGTGTGGTGCTCAGTATGGCGGCTAAGTACGGCCTAATGCTACATCAGATGGACGTCAAGACAGCGTTTCTTAACGGCTCCCTCAACGAAGACATCTACATGGACCAGCCGGACGGATACCTGGATGCAACACAGCCGGACTATGTGTGCAAGCTAAAGAGATCACTCTACGGCTTGAAGCAATCGCCTCGCATGTGGAACCAAACAATCGATGGGTTCATGATCAAGATGGGATTCAAGAAGTGCGAATCGGACCACTGCATCTACATCAAGCGAGACGACCAAGACATGATTATCGTGGTGCTCTACGTCGATGATCTCATCCTGGCCAGCAGCAACAACGAACTCCTCAAGTCAACCAAGATGGCGCTGAGCAAACGCTTCGAAATGACGGATCTCGGTGAGCTCGATTACTTTCTCGGCATGGAGATCAAGAACGACCGTAAGACGGGAATGGTGACTGTACAACAAACCAAGTTTCTCAAGTCCGTGTTAACCAAGTTCGGAATGGATAACAGCAAGCCAGTGAAGACGCCTCAAGATCCCGGCCTGAAGCTAACCAAGAACATGTGTGAACAAGAATGCAAGCACGAAGACACCATGTGCAACGTGCCATATCGAAGTGCTGTCGGAGGCATCATGTATCTCATGGTCGCCACACGTCCGGATCTAGCTGCTGCAGTGGGATCATTATCCCAGTTCTCGTCCGACCCATGCCCGACTCACTGGCAAGCTTTGAAGCGTGTGCTGAGATACCTGCAAGCAACGCCCAATCATGGTCTTGAGTTTACACGTGAAGAAGGAAGCCGTATCTGCGGGTACACCGACGCAGACTGGGCCGGCGACATTGAGTCAAGACGAAGTACAAGCGGCTATGTGTTCATGATGAGCGGAGGATGCATCAGCTGGAAAAGCCAGAAACAACGGACGGTCGCGCTATCTTCAACAGAAGCAGAATACATGGCGCTTTCCGAAGCAACCAAAGAAGCAGTATGGCTCAAAGTGCTTTTGGGGGAACTTGGTGAGATGACAAGCGACGAAGCGATCAAGATGTATGAAGACAACCAAGGATCAATCGCTCTCGCCAATAACCCGGAGTTCCATAAGAGAACAAAACACATCGACATACGCTACCATTTTGTGCGTGAGAAGGTGGAATCAGGTGAAGTCGTTTTGGAGTATTGCCCGACTCAAGATATGCTGGCAGACATGATGACCAAGCCGATCGCCGCTGTACAATTTGAAAACATTCGCGATCGACTTGGGATCCAAGGTGCCGCAGCTAACGAGTCGAGAGGTAGTGTTGAAAAGACAGCGGCTGTGAAGAAGACACCTCGTCAAGCTGCGTCAAGTGTTGAAGCAAGTGGAAGACCAAGCTTCACTATACCGGTGGGTACCGGTATGTACCAGTAAGGGCGAAGTCAGGAAATTGATGAACTATAGACTTCTTGGTCCGAGTGCAAAACGCAAAGGAATATATATTTATAATAGGTACTTAGTTCGCAACTTTGAATACTACCTCTAAGCCTATTATTCGCAGTGACGTCATGCAATGAAGAGTTCATTTCCTGACTTCGCCCTTACTGGTACATACCGGTACCCACCGGTATAGCGTGATGAACTTTAGACTTCTTGGTCCGAGTGCAAAACGCAAAGTGAATATATATTTATAATAGGTACTTAGTTCGCAACTTTGAATACTACCTCTAAGCCTATTATTCGCAGTGACGTCATCCAGTGACGTCACCCACTGACGTCACCCACTGACGTCATGCAATGACGTCATCCAGTGACGTCATTTCCTGACTTCGCCCTTACTGGTACATACCGGTACCCACCATTATAGCGAAGCTTGGTCTTCCACTTGCTTCAACACTTGACGCAGCTTGACGAGGTGTCTTCTTCACAGCCGCTGTCTTTTCAACAGAGCGGAGGATGCATCAGCTGGAAAAGACAGAAACAACGGACGGTCGCGCTATCTTCAACAGAAGCAGAATACATGGCGCTTTCCGATGCAACCAAAGAAGCAGTATGGCTCAAAGTGCTTTTGGGGGAACTTGGTGAGATGACAAGCGACGAAGCGATCAAGATGTATGAAGACAACCAAGGATCAATCGCTCTCGCCAATAACCCGGAGTTCCATAAGAGAACAAAACACATCGACATACGCTACCATTTTGTGCGTGAGAAGGTGGAATTAGGTGAAGTCGTTTTGGAGTATTGCCCGACTCAAGATATGCTGGCAGACATGATGACCAAGCCGATCGCCGCTGTACAATTTGAAAACATTCGCGATCGACTTGGGATCCAAGGTGCCGCAGCTAACGAGTCGAGAGGTAGTGTTGAAAAGACAGCGGCTGTGAAGAAGACACCTCGTCAAGCTGCGTCAAGTGTTGAAGCAAGTGGAAGACCAAGCTTCACTATACCGGTTGGTACCGGTATGTACCAGTAAGGGCGAAGTCAGGAAATTGATGAACTTTAGACTTCTTGGTCCGAGTGCAAAACGCAAAGGAATATATATTTATAATAGGTACTTAGTTCGCAACTTTGAATACTACCTCTAAGCCTATTATTCGCAGTGACGTCATGCAATGAAGTCATTTCCTGACTTCGCCCTTACTGGTACATACCGGTACCCACCGGTATAGCGTGATGAACTTTAGACTTCTTGGTCCGAGTGCAAAACGCAAAGTGAATATATATTTATAATAGGTACTTAGTTCGCAACTTTGAATACTACCTCTAAGCCTATTATTCGCAGTGACGTCATCCAGTGACGTCACCCACTGACGTCACCCACTGACGTCATGCAATGACGTCATCCAGTGACGTCATTTCCTGACTTCGCCCTTACTGGTACATACCGGTACCCACCATTATAGCGAAGCTTGGTCTTCCACTTGCTTCAACACTTGACGCAGCTTGACGAGGTGTCTTCTTCACAGCCGCTGTCTTTTCAACAGAGCGGAGGATGCATCAGCTGGAAAAGACAGAAACAACGGACGGTCGCGCTATCTTCAACAGAAGCAGAATACATGGCGCTTTCCGATGCAACCAAAGAAGCAGTATGGCTCAAAGTGCTTTTGGGGGAACTTGGTGAGATGACAAGCGACGAAGCGATCAAGATGTATGAAGACAACCAAGGATCAATCGCTCTCGCCAATAACCCGGAGTTCCATAAGAGAACAAAACACATCGACATACGCTACCATTTTGTGCGTGAGAAGGTGGAATTAGGTGAAGTCGTTTTGGAGTATTGCCCGACTCAAGATATGCTGGCAGACATGATGACCAAGCCGATCGCCGCTGTACAATTTGAAAACATTCGCGATCGACTTGGGATCCAAGTGCCGCAGCTAACGAGTCGAGAGGTAGTGTTGAAAAGACAGCGGCTGTGAAGAAGACACCTCGTCAAGCTGCGTCAAGTGTTGAAGCAAGTGGAAGACCAAGCTTCACTATACCGGTTGGTACCGGTATGTACCAGTAAGGGCGAAGTCAGGAAATTGATGAACTTTAGACTTCTTGGTCCGAGTGCAAAACGCAAAGGAATATATATTTATAATAGGTACTTAGTTCGCAACTTTGAATACTACCTCTAAGCCTATTATTCGCAGTGACGTCATGCAATGAAGTCATTTCCTGACTTCGCCCTTACTGGTACATACCGGTACCCACCGGTATAGCGTGATGAACTTTAGACTTCTTGGTCCGAGTGCAAAACGCAAAGTGAATATATATTTATAATAGGTACTTAGTTCGCAACTTTGAATACTACCTCTAAGCCTATTATTCGCAGTGACGTCATCCAGTGACGTCACCCACTGACGTCACCCACTGACGTCATGCAATGACGTCATCCAGTGACGTCATTTCCTGACTTCGCCCTTACTGGTACATACCGGTACCCACCGGTATAGCGAAGCTTGGTCTTCCACTTGCTTCAACACTTGACGCAGCTTGACGAGGTGTCTTCTTCACAGCCGCTGTCTTTTCAACACTCCCTCTCGACTCGTTAGCTGCGGCACCTTGGATCCCAAGTCGATCGCGAATGTTTTCAAATTGTACAGCGGCGATCGGCTTGGTCATCATGTCTGCCAGCATATCTTGAGTCGGGCAATACTCCAAAACGACTTCACCTGATTCCACCTTCTCACGCACAAAATGGTAGCGTATGTCGATGTGTTTTGTTCTCTTATGGAACTCCGGGTTCTTGGCGAGAGCGATTGATCCTTGGTTGTCTTCATACATCTTGATCGCTTCGTCGCTTGTCATCTCACCAAGTTCCCCCAAAAGCACCTTGAGCCATACTGCTTCTTTGGTTGCTTCGGAAAGCGCCATGTATTCTGCTTCTGTTGAAGATAGCGCGACCGTCCGTTGTTTCTGGCTTTTCCAGCTGATGCATCCTCCGCTCATCATGAACACATAGCCGCTTGTACTTCGTCTTGACTCAATGTCGCCGGCCCAGTCTGCGTCGGTGTACCCGCAGATACGGCTTCCTTCTTCACGTGTAAACTCAAGACCATGATTGGGCGTTGCTTGCAGGTATCTCAGCACACGCTTCAAAGCTTGCCAGTGAGTCGGGCATGGGTCGGACGAGAACTGGGATAATGATCCCACTGCAGCAGCTAGATCCGGACGTGTGGCGTGTTGAAAAGACAGCGGCTGTGAAGAAGACACCTCGTCAAGCTGCGTCAAGTGTTGAAGCAAGTGGAAGACCAAGCTTCGCTATACCGGTGGGTACCGGTATGTACCAGTAAGGGCGAAGTCAGGAAATGACGTCACTGGATGACGTTATTGCATGACGTCAGTGGGTGACGTCAGTGGGTGACGTCACTGGATGACGTCACTGCGAATAATAGGCTTAGAGGTAGTATTCAAAGTTGCGAACTAAGTACCTATTATAAATATATATTCACTTTGCGTTTTGCACTCGGACCAAGAAGTCTAAAGTTCATCAGGTTATGAGCCCAAGTTCGTCAGACTCTGAAACCGCCAACAATTCAAGCTTAGCTGCCATGGACGCCTCCTCCCTCCGCATCTCCAAGTTCGATGGAACTAACTTCCACGCCTGGAAGTTCAAGATGCAGATGGTGCTGGAGGAACGGGACCTATGGGAGGTCGTCAGCGGTGAGATCAAGGCGGAACAGTGCGAGACTCAGTTGGACCAAGCGACGTACAAGAGGAAGTCAAGAAAGGCGATGGCAGTGATCTGTCTAGCCATGGAAGATTCCCAGCTACCGTTGGTCCGGTCGGCAAGTGGTGCATGTGACGCATGGTCAAGGTTGGAAGACCACTTCGAGAAGAAGAGTCTTGCCAACAAGCTGTTCTTGCGCCGTCGCTTCTTCACGACAATGATGGAAGAAGGCGACGATGTGCTCGAACACATCAACAAGCTCAAGACGCTGGCGGAACAGCTAGAAGCGGTGGGGGCTCCAGTCTGCGAGGACGATCTGGTGATCACACTCCTCGGCAGCCTGAGTGACTCGTATCAATTCTTGATCACAGCTTTGGAGTCGCGCTCAGACACTCTTAGCTGGGAGCTCGTGACGTCTCGACTGCTTCATGAAGAAATGAAGCGGAAGGAGCAAGGAAGTAAAGGTGATGAAGCTTCGCAAGGTCAAGCGTTCATCACAAGGGACAATCAGCGCAAAAGGGCGACCAGTGAAGAAGTCCTGGCCGTGCCACAATTGCGGAAAGATTGGTCACTGGATGGCGGAGTGTCCCTCGCGCATCCAAGAAAACACGGAGAGACACCGGCCACAGCGTGCTCAAGACAGCGGCGACCGCTATCGATCACAACGTGCAAACGTCGCTCAAGAAGAAGACTCGGGCGACTACCTCTTTCGATCGGTGAAACGACATCTGCGAAATCGAGCGACATCTGGCTGATCGACTCGGGAGCGACGCAGCACATGACGTGTTCCAAGAAGTTCATGCGGAACTACAAGGGGGTTTGACGCTGTGGATGTCCATCTCGCGGATGATGGAATCGTCCAAGCAATCGGCAGTGGGGACATTGTCATGTCGATGAAGACACCCCAAGGGATGAAGAAAGGTGTGCTCACAAACGTGTGGCACATCCCAAAGTTATCCAGAAACCTGTTCTCGGTCGGCCGCTTCACCAAGGATGTCGGCCCAGTGACGTTCACGAAGGATGGGTGCTATGGAGAAGCGAAAGGGACCAAGTGGAAAATTGGTGCCCGTGAAGGTAAAGAACTGTTCAAGCTGCAAATGACTCCAGTGGCGCCGGAACAAGCAAATGCAGCCAAGTCGTCGGGATGTCAAGGGGGCACCAAGTCGTACCTCTGGCACCTTCGGCTTGGCCACATAGGTCATGATGGACTCAATTGCATCGTGACGAAGAACATTGGAATTGGCATCGACATATCTTCGGTGAAGAAGTGGGACGTGTGTGAAGGTTGTGCTCTGGGAAAACAGACTCGAGTGCGCTTCCAATCAAACACTACAGCTCGCACCTCCAAACTCCTCGAAGTGATTCACAGCGACGTATGCGGACCGATGTCGATGGCAACTTTCAGTGGAAAACGGTACTTCGTGACATTCATTGATGACAAGTCAAGATACTGTGTCGTCTATCTGCTCAAGAGCAAATCTGAAGTTGCGGCGAAGTTCATGGAATACGCTGCGATGGCCGAAACGCAAACCGGAAAGCGCGTGAAGTACCTTCAAAGCGACAATGGGGGTGAATACAAGTCCGACAAGCTGGCACGATTCTGCGCGGAACGGGGAATACAACAAAGGTTCACCCCCCCCATATACTCCTCAGCTAAACGGAGTAGCTGAGAGAATGAATCGCACGCTGGTCGAGTGTGCGCGTTGCATGATGGAACACGCTGGACTGGGAAAGAGCTACTGGGGTGAAGCAGTGATGACGGCGATGTTTCTTCGAAACCGCTGTCCAACACGTGCCATTCACCAAGACAAGTCTCCATATCAAGTGTGGACGATGAAGAAACCGATTCTGGCCAACCTTAAAGTGTTTGGATGCCACGCGTATGTTCAAGTGCCTCAAGACAAACGCGCGAAGTTCGACTCCAAGTCATCACTCTGTCGTTTCCTGGGATACGCCGAACACCAGAAGTCATATCGATTTGAGGAAGTGTCAACAGGAGCGATCAAGATCAGTCGCGATGCCACATTCATGGAAGACAAGTTTGATGAAGGTCCGCGCAACTACAACGATGAGTCAAGTGTCGTTGAGTTTGATGATCATGATGAGGACGAAGAAAAAGAAGAAGGTAAAACTGACGACGACATGGACTCGAGCGACGATGACAACGAAGACACCAGGTCTTCGAAGAGCAACATCAAGAGACACACGCGCACTCAATCACTTGAGAAAGCTACCGTCATTCCAAGTCCCAAGCGAAGAACATACAGAGGTCCGTCGCTTGAGCATGTGTCAGCGGCTGCAATGGATTTTGAAGCAGCCTACATCGTTGATTCAGTGGGGGAAACGCCGACTACATTCAAGTCGGCGATGGAATCAAGCGACTCCGGCAAGTGGAAAGAAGCGTGTGACTCGGAGTTCGATTCGCTTCAGAGAAACGACACGTGGGAAATCGTGCCTCTTCCGAAAGGTCGCAAGGCCATCGGGTGCCGATGGGTTTTTCGTGTAAAGGAGAATCAAGATGGCGAAGTTGAACGTTTCAAGGCAAGACTTGTGGCCAAAGGATTCTCACAGAAATTCGGAGTTGACTATGAAGAAACTTTCGCACCGGTGGCCAAGTTCACATCGATTCGTGTGGTGCTCAGTATGGCGGCTAAGTACGGCCTAATGCTACATCAGATGGACGTCAATGTAAGGAGTAAGAGTTAAGTAAAGTAAATGACTTGTATATTACCGCGCACCAGACGCGTTTCGGCCCCCCGCCGGGGGCCTCATCAGTGGTTTGTCAATCTACAAGTGAGAACTATCCATACGTCTAGCTGCCGTACGACCTATAATAATGCATAGAACCCTAAAGAACATTCTAGACATACCCTATCATGGGTCGAATCTCTGGAGTCGAATCCAGTGCATCATGCACTTACAACACTCCCCCTCGACGACATGAGATGCAGACCACTTTGGTATCGACCCGCCTGTAATCCTCACTGCTGCATCCGTGCACCATGGGAATCTTGATTGAGTCTTGCCCCTGCGCTCCAGCCAACCTCGATGATACCGAGCGTTCCAGGTATTCCAGCCCCCCATCGTCCAGCACCATGTCACATCTTGACATCTCGTAGTCGTCGTTCGCCTTGCATGTAGTTTCCACTTCTTCTTGACCACAAATACACTTGTCACCACTCGACTTGACTCTTCCTTCGATAGCACTCGCGCATTCAGACCATCTCGCGTCACCACCCTTGCACAAACCCTTTTCGACTGCACGCGCACCGTCAACGATCCCTGTCGATGAATTCTTCGGCGCCTTACTCGTGCATCGAGCGCCTTCTCTGACGGGGTGTCCCTCGCACAAGTTGGTCCTTGGTGAGGTGTCTGCAGCGAGCACTTGGGCTCATAACCTGTAAGGAGTAAGAGTTAAGTAAAGTAAATGACTTGTATATTACCGCGCACCAGACGCGTTTCGGCCCCCCGCCGGGGGCCTCATCAGTGGTTTGTCAATCTACAAGTGAGAACTATCCATACGTCTAGCTGCCGTACGACCTATAATAATGCATAGAACCCTAAAGAACATTCTAGACATACCCTATCATGGGTCGAATCTCTGGAGTCGAATCCAGTGCATCATGCACTTACAACAGTCAAGACAGCGTTTCTTAACGGCTCCCTCAACGAAGACATCTACATGGACCAGCCGGACGGATACCTGGATGCAACACAGCCGGACTATGTGTGCAAGCTAAAGAGATCACTCTACGGCTTGAAGCAATCGCCTCGCATGTGGAACCAAACAATCGATGGGTTCATGATCTGTTGCATTGTAGATCGGAGCGAGGAAAGCGGAGCAAACGGAGCGGAGAGACCGAAGAGAGTAGAGCAGAAAACACTTGCCCAATAGTTGGAAGATTCGAAAGTGATTGATTATCGGGGCTTACTACTTACTACATGATTTATATGTGGTGTACATATAAATCATGTGAAGCGTCTCATCATCCTACGCGTCTAATCAACTATGGTAATTACCGTAAGAACTACGTCGTAAATACTAAGCTGAACAGGCGGTTCGGATTGGATCGGTCACGGTTACCAATACTGGTAGAAAACCGATGACCGTCAACACGCCCCCTCAATCCGAATGCTCACGAATCCCGAGAGTCGCCGTCATCTCCTTGTGGCGTGGCCCGTGAAGTCCCTTCGTCATGATGTCCGCTAACATCACCGCAGTTTCACAGTACTTGAGCTTCACTTCACCGCGCTTGACCTCATCACGGATGTGATGGTACTTGATATCAATGTGCTTGGCACGGCCGTGGTTGACTGGGTTCTTCGTCATCTTGATACACGACTGATTGTCTTCATGGATCATGAGTTCCGGTCCTTCTTCATTGGCAGCCATCACGATCTCACAAAGCAGACGATGAATCCACTTGCCCTCTTGAATCGCCAAGCTGAGTGCGATGTATTCGGCTTCACTCGTGGACAACGAAACACTTGGCTGCTTCTTGCTGCCCCAACTGACTGGCGCACCGAGTAGCATGAACGTGTACCCCGATGTTGACTTGCGGTCGGTAAGATCACCAGCCCAATCCGCATCCGAATATCCACGGAAGTCGATCCTTGCACTTGGCTTGTAGCAAATTCCATGCGTCTTGGTGCCTTGTAGGTAGCGAAAGATACGCTTAACTGCAACCCAGTGTTCTTCTTGGGGATTTTCCATGAACCGCGACACATAGCCCACAGCAAACGCAATGTCCGGACGCGTTGCAGTGGTCAGGTGCATCAACGCACCAACAGCTTCGCGAAAAGGAGCATCGACCTTGGTAGTTGCATCACTTGAAACAAGTCGAGAGCTCATGTCGACTGGACTTGCGACTGCCTTGCAATCATCCATGCCAAAGCGCTTGAGGATATCATCGACATACCGACGCTGACATAGTGTCACACTGCCATCTTCACCGTCCAAAAGCTCGATCCCAAGAACAAACGCACACTTGCCGCTGTCCGTCATTTCGAACCGCGTCTTCAGGTCGTTCTTGGTTTGTGCAATCAGCTCGAGCGAGCTTCCAGTCACCAAGACGTCGTCCACGTAGACCAGTATAAACACGCAATGGCCGTCCGAAGTCTTGATGTAGAGACATGGGTCGAAGTCCGATACTTGAAATCCGATGGAGCACACATACTCGTCGAACGTCTCGTTCCACACTCGCGACGCTTGCTTGAGGCCGTAAATTGACTTCACCAATTCCAGGCAGTCGAACGTACTGTCAAGTTCGACGCCTTCAGGAATCACGCAGAACACTTGTTCCTTCATGACGCCATACAGGAAAGCTGTCACCACATCAAGCTGGTCGATGGGCCATCCAAAATGCTTGGAAATTGCGATCACCATTCGCAGCGTCACATACTTGACCACAGGCGAAAACGTCTCCGTGTAGTCGATGCCATACTTTTGGCGGAAACCCTTGGCCACAAGTCGTGCCTTGTACTTCTCGATTGACCCATCCGCCTTGCGCTTGATCTTGAACACCCATTTTGTGCCAATGGCGCGTTGTCCGTTGGGCAGCTTGGCTGCACGAAACACACCGCGAAGTCGCATTGACTCGAGCTCTGCATGAATTGCTTTTCTCCAGTGCACTTGGTCAGGGCCGCTTACTGCTGCTTCAAATGTTGAGGGCTCTGATAAGTCCACTGCTGCTTCAACGGCATTTGCACTCGCACGCCAAAACACAGGCGGTGTTGAATCACCAGAATCCTTCGTTTCTTCGTCTTCTTCTTGTCGTGACGAGTTGTTTTCCGGCGCGCTTGACTCTTCTAGTCCTGGTCGTTGACGCACTGCACGCGGTCGTGGAGCTGCTGTATCTTCATCATTGAGTCGGTTCTTGCGCTTGCCTGTTTGCTTGTACTCCATTTGACGCAGCTCTTCGTCATCAAGATCCAGCAATTCGAAGTCCAGGTCATCGACATCTTCATCAGTGATCGGCAGTTGAAGTCCAAAGGTGGACTCGTCGAAGTTGACATCGCGGCTGATAACCACCTGCCCCGCCTCGATGTCATAAACACGATATGCCTTCGAAACTTCTTCGTAGCCCACGAATATGCCAGCGCGAGCCTTTGGATCCCACTTGAGTCGATTCTCTTTAGGCGTCAGTATGTATGTCTGACACCCGAATGTTCGCATGTGCTTGACGCTTGGTTTCAAGTTGTAGACGATCTCAAACGGGGTCTTGTGCACGACTTTAGGTGACGGCAGTCGATTCTTGACGTAGATGGCCGTCATCGCTGCTTCGGCCCAGAAACACTTGTCCAGTTTGGCATGATGAAGCATGCTGCGGCCGATCGTGACAATAGTCCTAATGGCACGCTCTGCTGTTCCGTTTGTTTGATGTGCATACGGCACCGTTGTCTGCTGTTCAATGCCTTCGTCTTCGTAGAACAGTTGAAGCGAGTTGGTTGCAAACTCGCGAGCTCCGTCGTGTCGCACGAACTTGACCTTCTTACAGAATTGCGTCTGTACCATGGTGATATATTTCCGGATGTAGTCTTCACTCTCGGACTTCACTCGTAGACAAAAGCCCTTCATGCATCCACTGGCTTCGTCGATGATCAGCAGCAAATATTTGCTGCCACCGAGCGAATCCTTTTCCATGGGCCCGCAGATGTCCAGATGAAGTAGCTCAAACGTATCGTAGCTGCGCTTGTCTCGGTTGCTTGGAAATGGTTTTTGGACCATTTTCCCTTGTTGACATCCTCGACATGTAGTTGCTCCACCCGACTTGAGAGGGACTCGCACATCCTTGATCATGTTGGTCGCGATCATCTTGCGAAGTACATCGACTGGAGCATGACCCATTCTCGCATGTAGATCGGCACAACTGGTTCCACTTGTTGTCACATTCGCTGATCGTTGAGTCGTCCGAAGCCAGTAGAGTCCATCCACGAGATCCGCTGTCGCCACCACTTGCTGTGAGTTCTTGAGAGTCACATACATCTTGGACCCGTCAAACACGACTTGAAACTTGCCATGGCTGTTAATCTGTGGCACCGAGAGCAGGTTCTTGCTCATACTTGGAACATATAGCGCGTTCTTGATTTCGATCTCACGCTCTTCACCGTTGGGCAGAACCACCTTTTCCATGATGGTTCCCACACCCTTGATGGCCACCTTGTTGCCATCAGCCACCAAGAGTTCGCCCTCATTGCGCTCTGCCAAACTTGCGAACTTGGTCTTGTCGTGGCAAATGTGGTGCGTTGCACCACTGTCGACGGCCCACATTCCAGACACGTCCTTGCTCGTCGAAACTCCACATTCGAACGAGACTGCAAACGCCACTCGATCGTAGCCATTGCCTTCATCATGATGTCCCCACTGGACATTGTTAGCCCCCGCGTCCACGACCATTGCCGCCGCGTCGGGCTCCCCGACCTTCGTTCTTCTGCTTTGTCCAGCAACGATCCACCGTGTGTCCCACCTTGCCACAATACGTGCATTGGTAGGGCTCACGCTCGGCGCTGAATGCCTTGCTTGCATCTTCAGCCTTCACCGTAGTCGCTGTCGTTGTCCCTTTTTCTCCTTGACGCTTGGCATGCTCATTCGTCAGGACTCTCACCACATCTTGAGTGCGAAGCTCGGTGCTGCTCATTTCCATGTTGAGCACCACATTTTCGTAGCTCTTCGGAAGACTGAGTAGCAGACAAATTGCAACGTCTTC